TGTGTGTGTGTGTGTGTGTGTGTGTGTGTGTGTGTGTGTGTGTGTGTGTGCGCACGAATGTCTCTGTGTGCTTATGTGTGAACTAAATCCATTATGTGCTTGTCTGTTCTGTCCTTACATTGACATGTGTCAGTGATTCTGTTTCAGAGAAAAGCAAACGCCTTTACACAACACTGCAGCCATCTCATCCCGTATGTTACTGACACTAGAAAACATTTAAATATTTCTGGTCACATTACCATGGACATTCCTCCAGCCTGACAGACCCACCGACTGTTTACAATCACTAGACAGACCGAAGAATTGTAATAATAAATAGCATCTATGAGAGACATGAGATTTTGTTTTCTTTTTACATTGAACACATCAAACTTAAACTCACCTGATTGTTGTCAGCTTTCCTTACTGTTCATTTTGCGTCAACATAGAGCCTACGCCGTAGCCTGACATGCACCTCGTCATAGCACATAGCAGTGGTGCAGACCTCCTGTCTGTCTCTGTAAGCTGAAACCATTTCCCTCAGTCGAAACAAAACTTTTATTTACTTTAATTTCACAGATAAGAAACAATAAATTGCGAAGACAATAAAGCCTCCACAAAAATAGCATTTTAAGTCTTGTGTGTGATTTATCCTGGCTTCATATGAGCAGAGGAAATCTCTGCTAGTCGCTAGGCTAATTTATACAATGTAAAATGCCATAGGCTGGCGCTAATAACGTTAGCATGTTATATTTGTTTGGAAAACGTGTTTAGTATAAGACAGTTGTTTTGTCAGTGAACCTTGTGAGTTGTAATCGAGCCGAATTTTGTTACGTTACCTTTGTTAAATGTTGCTGTTGTCCCTGTAGAGGAAAAGTTTGCTAGCCACTAGGCTAATTTATACAATGTAAAATGCCATAGGCTTGTGCTAATAACGTTAGCATGTTGTATTTGTGGGGAAAATGTGTCCAGATAAAGACAAGTGTTTGTCTGTGAATGCTGCGAGTTATAGTGAAGCTGATTTGTGTACTTGTGTTTGAAACTGTCTCTATTAAGCCATGTTTAATGTGTGTTTAATGTGTGTTTTGAATCAACTAAACTTTACAGCACTTCACAGAAATCTCCGTCGCTGACTAGTGTTTTGGAGGTGTAACTGCAGAGTGACACAGACACACCACTGTACGATTATAAATGCTGACAACGGTGTAGGCCATGTGTTTAAGCTACAGCGTAGGGTCTGCCGCACAAGTATAAATCCCCCTTTAGGAGGCAAACAAATTGGAGTTCAATTGAACTGAACCAAACAGTGCAGGTGTGAAAGCACTAAAACTAAAAATTTTGAACAGTCAAAACTAAACTGAAACAAAACCCACACTGGAAACTAACTAACTGTATAAAAAAACAATAAAAAAATAAATAAAACTAATGAAAAATACAAACTCTTACATCCCTGGCATCTTTAGTTAACAACAACTGTACTTTTGTCCCCAAACGACCTCATTTTGGAATCAAAATACAAGAAAAATAGTGGATGTAAACAAAGAGCACTGTGTGCCTGGTCCCATAGCAGAACAACAGAGCTGCAGACACCACAGCATCTGTGTCCATTGTATTTATCACTATCTGTCATGTAGGAAGCAAACACCGCTGTGTAACGCTGTCATTTGTGTCTTGTTAAAGTGTTTATCTGTTTTGGTTTTTTTTTGGTGCGTGTGGCTGAGCGCGGTGTTGTTCTGTGTCCTCTCTCCCCGCAGGCCTCCCTGATCCCTTCGCCAAGGTTGTAGTGGACGGTTCAGGGCAATGCCACTCTACAGACACTGTGAGGAACACACTCGACCCCAAGTGGAATCAACACTACGACCTGTGAGTCCCAGAGTCACTTTATGAACACATGAATGACACACAGTCGTTTCTCACATCTGTTTTCAAAGCCCAGAAAAAATGGGATTCTGTTTTGGTTTATTTGAATACCTCCCACCTTCCTAAAGACTTAATCTGATTACAAACAGCAGTGTGAGACTCTGCTCCGGCCGCTTGCAATTTTTACGTCTTTCTTTATTTAACCTTGATAAGTGAGCATGCTGAGAAGTGTCAGGCCGTGCCATTAACAAGACCTAAACAGTTACAGCTGTAAACAGCTCTTGCATCTGGTCTCTCACTTATTTGGATACTCTGTAATGACATAACCCTTCAGCACCAGCGAAGACTCTAAAAATGTCCCTTGGATCAGCGTTTATAGAAACAGAGAAGGAGGGGCGTCTCCAATAGTATTTTCTTCCATTGACTGAAACACGTGCATGTCTTGTTGTACCCTGATTGTCTTTTCCCAAAGATGGTTTGTCCTGAGAAAGTAACCTGGAAAAAACAGAGACGGAGCGCGTGAGTGAAAATGTGAGAGTGAAAGTTTCCAGTATTCGCCCCGGTGTTTATCCAACCGTCATGCATAGCCAACAGCGAGAGGAAGCACATGTCTCCGTTTGTTTGGTTGCTGGGGATACGGGACCCTCTCTCTACACGGCTGTTAAATTAGCTGCTCGTGTCACATTTGACAAGAGGGAAAAAGTCACGCGTGTGTGTGCGCACCTTTAAAGATGGATCGATGGAGAGGAGAACACAGACTCGTGGCTCAGTGGAGCTTCTCTGCACTAATTTGTCCCGAGAGCCTGCAGATGTAGCCGACTGGAGTTTATGTGCAAATTACTGGTGTTTCTGTGCCAGTGATAAGTTTAACATCGGTGTGCCCCCCTTCGCTGTCTGTCAGCGTTTATCCTCATGGCCAGCAGACGGACTCTCAGGTGGTGTGTTGGAGGAGAGAGGTTTTAATTGAGCAGGCTAGAAAGCCGTCTGGCTGGCTCACACTTATTAAAATAGGGCCTGTAACACCTGGTGTTGTGACTGCAGCCGAGTGCATTAAAGCTGTTGGCAGTGAATATTTTTTTCCATTTGTTTGTGTGTGATCATTTGAGGGTGCAGAAATACCGTGCAAGTGTGTGTGTGTGTGTGTCGAGAGTTTCATTGGTCACAGCCAGCAGACTGGCCGTGAACTGTGACCCTGCAGCATTGTTGCAGGATGTGGTCGGCATGCCAAGGATAGCAGACGGTCTGTCTGTCTGTCTGTCTGTCTGTCTGCCTGCTGCTTCTCACACTCATTCTTGAGGGTGTAAATGATCCCGATGTGATAGGTATCGATTCTTTGGACAAAGATAACATATTTGCTTATATCAAGTCTGCCATGATACAAATGAATGGATGAATAATTGAATGAATCAAAGCTTTCAGGTAGGGTCGAGCACCAAAACCTTCCTGTATGAGCGATACCTACCGGACTGAATCATGACGCAGATTTCGGTGCCTCATTTCTGTGAGTAACAAGTGTGCCGTCGAGAGGGAAAGACAGACAGTGTGTGTGCCGGTGACAGTGAGGCTGCAGCGTCCAGAACAGAGAGTATGAAGTTAAACACAGCAGCGTAATGTGTGAACAGTTTAGGTTATTTAAGAGTAAATGCAACAACTCCCCAAAACCAAGCAGGCTTTGCAACAAAATTAAAACACATCAAATTTAGGTAACATTCTAGCTTCTGGATTTCTGAACACCAGAATATATCAGGGTTTAGACGAGACATTTCAAGTCATCATAGTGTGTACAATATAAAAGAAAATGGGATTCACTTCTTCCTGAATATTGTTGGATCCCCAGAGGAAGAAGGCCAGCTCTCAGCTGTACAACAGAGGATCTTTGGCTTGTAGATAAACGAGGTGTTACACATGGCTCAGGGCCAAACTTATGTTTTATGTGCACATATGTTCTTAATTTTGGCATTGACAGAATGTTTTCAAACCACACAATTTTGATTTCGTTAAATACAGGGGCCGTGATCGATATGAGATGATATCAGTAAATATAAGGGATGCACCGATTTACTGGCCGAACATCAGTATTGGCCGATATTCACCTTGTTGACTGCTGGCTTATGGAGAAAAGCTGGTGTATCGATTAAAAGTCAGTGTACCAAGTGCAGTGGAAAAAGATTAAGCAAATACATGACGACATACAGTCATGATAAACAGTCATTGCAGACCACTGCGAGCTCTCTTCATCTTCTCTGGAAACCTTTAACAGCTAATGTAACATTATGCACGCAGGGCTGTTACCACAAGTCCTCCAAGAGCACAGAGATGTAATATTAGTCATGCGCTCCATTATTATACATCTATTGTTTTGCTTGTTCCAAGGTTTGACTGGCCCTCTTATAAAGTCATCTTGTTGCGTCTTCTTCTGCAGTGGCACCTGGTTCGAGAATTAGTGCCACCTACTGCTTATCTCAAACCAACTCCCAGTATTCGCAGTAACAGTAGTGGACAGAAAAGCACGTAAATTTGTATCTTCTTTTGCAGATTTTCTAAAAATGTGGTTAAAGTTTGCACAACATTTGGATGGAAACCAAACTACAGACATGCCATGAGAATTTTAGAATACAGCCATATCTTAAAGATGATGATATATATATCGATGTATATATAGATGTTTTGACTTTGAACGATGATATTAGATCTTTAATTATTGAATTGTATACTGATCGGCGGCAAGGTGGTGCAGGGGTTAACACAGGGCTGACACATACACAGACACAGACAACCATTCACACTCACATTCACACCTACGGACAATTTAGAGTCACCAATAAACCTGCATGTCTTTGGACTGTGGGAGGAAGCTGGAGCACACCCAACCCACGCCGACACAGGGAGAACTAGGGCTACAACTAACGATTATTTTCATTGTTGACTTAATCTGTTGATTATTTCTTCGATTACAGGACTAATCATTTTATCGAAAAATGTGTTAAAATGTTGAAAAATGTCAGTCTGTCTCTCCCAAACCCCCAAATTGTGTCATCTAATGTCTTGTTTTGTACTCATGCCAAAGGGTTTTAGTTCACCGTCATGGGAGAGTGTGTAAAGCTGCCAATATTTGAACGTAAGAAGCTGCAATAAGAGTATTTTGGGTACTTTTCGATGAAAAATGACTCAAACCAATTAGTCTACTACTAAAATAGTCACCGATTAGTTGACTAATCGTTGCAGCCCTAGGGAGAACATGCTAACTCTGCACAGAGGGCCTCCCCCATGCAAGGGTTCAAACCAGGAACCCTCTTGCTGTCAGGTGACAATGCTAACCACTGCTCCACCGTGCCGCCGTGTGTAAAATAGACCGTCACTAACCGCAGTGGTGGTTTTGAATTAAAGAACCATTAGAAACCGACAGCAGGAGTGGTTGTTATGCTAAAGGACATGGACATGATGATTGTCAGTAATGTAATGGTGTTTTTAGAGGACCCTCGTCTTCAGAGTGTCATGAAGTGTTTTTAAGCATTTTTGGAGTGTCCCTCCAGTGTGCGCTCAGTCACATTTGGTTAATTAGGACTTATTCAAATATGGCATTGTTAAATAATACATCTGCAGTGTTAAGTACCCAGTCTAGACTCAAATTAATAATGCCCACTCATCCATCCATTTTCCTCCCACCATTCAAACTGAATTGCTATGGAGCACCCAGTTAAAGGGCACCACCATTAACGGCTTTATTAGATCCTTAGTGTTACTATGTCGTAGAATTATGGTTAAACAAAAAAGGTGGCACAATGCAGATGATGCATAAGAGATCTCTGAGTCCGTTTAAGAGCATGGACAGTTGTGAATGTTAGCACTGGGCCTTCCCGTTTGTTTTGTTTGTATCGCAGTGACTGTAGTGTTGCTGTAATAAAATGTTTTTCTTTCACTTTGACCATATGTTCCTGGCTGTAACTTCCAGGGAAAAGCTAGTAAAAACGGTGCCAGAGATGCCGCTTGTATGAATAGAGACTGCCAAATAAAAGGATGTATTTAGAAAGCACATCTGACTCTTTAAATCGGCTGCTTTCTCCTTTTATTGCAATTTTCCCATTGTCTCTCGTGCAGCGTGTGTGTGTGTGTTATTGCCTATGACTGGTATTAAAAATCTTAGCCAGACTAATGAATTTTATTACGTGGAGGGTGATCCAGATGACTGGGGTTTGGTTGTAATACTTCCCTCCCGTCACGTCTGTCTGACATTGCAGCTCTCTCACATCGCACCCCAGACAGGCATTTGGCATCAGCTCAAAATGTCCAGACGTCTTACTCACAGCCCCATTGTTTCATATCCCTTTTGGTAAGCGGCATGATAATTACAGTGGGATGCAGTTCTGCGAATTGTACAGATGATTAGTTTTCAACTGAAGGAGGGAGCCCACCCGAGCAGATGTGCCACAACAGGTTCACATGGTGAGATTTTATCACAGCCTCGGCCTACACGAGGAGGAGGAGGAGGAGAGAAGGGAGCATGGAGGGGACAGACAGGCAGTCAGGGAATAATCTTTCTCTTATTCCCTTCCCATCTTTGGTTGTCTGTATACAAGATAATTACCAACCTGAGTGTATTCTTTACTTTCACAGCAGGCAAACAATTGTTCCTTTTAAGGTTGGCGTTTTTCACCGTGATCAAGGTGGCTCAAGGGATGATAATGCTGGTCTGTCAGCCGCTCCACCACTTTAGGTCCAGACTGAAATATCTCTACAGCTGTAAGAGGGATTGTCATAAAATTTGGTACAAACATTTATGTTCCCAATTTCCTTTGAGCGCCAACATCATGTCAACGTGTCAGTCGTAAAATACTAATGACCAAACACCTACAACACTAATGACTTCCAATCAGCCTCTATTCCCTGCCCCCATGATACCTTGCGTGAATTAGGGGTGCAGCTTCCGGTGCTGAACCAAAACTAGCGACTTCCTGTAGTAACAGTTTGTTTACAGTACTCTATTCTTCTTTCTAAGAGCAATCGGGAAATAAAACGTGGGACACACCACCAGTTACAACTCAAACAGGATTCTGTGATCATACCTCTGTCATCTCTGACAGCCATCTCAGAGCAACTGAGCACGCTAGCAATTAGCTCGCCTTGCTCCGTTAAAATATTAACTTTAACATGTCCCGAGCTAGCTTAAGGTAAACATCTGCTCCTTCTAAGATGATTTCTGATTTCTGATGACTTATTAAGAGATACGAACACATAATTCAGTATTAACTGTAGCTCAATGTAAAGTGAATAAATGTGATGTTTCCCAGCTAATCCTCCGCTTGTCTGCGTTAACGACACAGTTTACATGTTTTTTTTATAACTTCTGATTTATTAGAAACTGTTCTGTGCGAAACATGAAGCTGAACGTGTCGTTCTCTTCTGCAAATTCTGATTTCATACTTCTCCGCTATGTCTCGTGAAACACTTGTGGTTTTATTTCTCATATCAATGATAGCTTCGGCAACAGGAACAATCCCTTTTTGTGTTGGTTACATGTTCAACACGTAGTCGCTGAAGACAAACATTTAGCGTAGACTGGTTGTTAGTCGTTACAGACACGGACAGTGCAACAGGTACCAGAGCTCAGCAGTTAACAATAGTTAAATACTTGTTTAAAAATAAATCGGTATTTGCTAAACTGAAGGCAAATTACTTTCAAAAAGAACCAACGTTGGCGGTTAGCTACCAAGAGTAGCCACTGGGACTCACCACACGCAGTCTATGGGACTAACTAGCTCAATGCTACTTACGTTATCTCACTGGAAGTTACGCCCATAATCATTTCTAGAGTAGTGCCCTCAGGAATAAGGTGGATACTTGAACACTAATTAGCAAATGATAGCATGCTAACACGCTAAACTAAGATTTTCATCATGGTCAACATTATACCTGCTTAAAGGGGACCTTTTATGCTTTTTCGCAGCATTTAATACGATTGACCATTGGTTGGTCATTGTGACTGTGTGTTAAACTGGTTCAGACATTAAAGGGACAAAGTCTTACGTCAGTCTTGGAGATCATGTGTCGTGGAAACATGACCTCTGTTTTGGGGTTCCTCAAGCTAGCTGCCTTGGTCCACTATTATTCTTGGTGACATCATTAGAGAACACAGCGTCTGTTTCCATAGTTACGCAGCTGACATGCAACTGTACATTTCTGCCGCTCCAAATGATGCTGCAGCCATGAACTCTATTACTACCTGTCTTTTGGCAGTAAATGAATGGATGAGCAATTATTTCTTTAAGTTAAATGAAAACAAAACTGAAATCCTGCTTGTCGACCCTAAATCAAAAAGAAAAATGCTGCTCAATAATCTGGGGAATTTAACTGCCTGGATTAGATCTGAGGTGACGAGTCTTGGTGTGATCCTAGATTCAGATCTAAGCTTCAAGTCTCACATTAACAAGGTGACGAAAACATAATTTTTCCACCTCAGAAACATCGCTGAGGTCCGACCATTTCTGAATGAAAAAGATGCTGAGAAATTGATTCATGCCTTTATTTCAAGCCAACTCGACTACACACTTTTTAGTGGCCTCCAAAAAACACCACTCTCCGACCTGCTCTGCACTGACTTCCTGTTACATTTGCAATTGATTTTAAGATCTGTGGTCATCTGCTGCTGGTTTATTGGAGGTTAGCAGCAACAGCCAGAAGACGATCAGGGATCAGCCTTTGTCAGTGACGCCCCAAAACTATGGAACCTTTTTTACCTATAGATATCAGGGAAGCTAGCTCGCTAAATGGTTTTAAAAGAAAGCTAAAAACATATCTGTACACTTTAGCCTTCAACTAGCTGCTGCTAAGACAACCTAAAATTGAACAGTGTATACCACCCTTTAGTCCTTTTATCTGTGTTTCTGTAATTGATTGAATGCCACCTCTTGCTGTGTGGTGATGTTATTGTTCTCCACATCAATCAATCATCTGTCTCCTTCTCCATGTGACTTACTCACAACTTCTTCGGTGAAGAATGTAGGACTGTCGTTCTCCAGCGGACTTGAATGTAGTATTCCTCCTATGTTTACAGTGTACTTCACAAACTGCTTTAGAATAGTTTACGTGAAGGAAAAGAACCCTTAAGTTATATTATTAATGTTACAGCCATCCACATCTGACAGCATTAGCGATGGCTGTTTATACCAAATTACATTTTTAATTCAGTTTGTTTAATCAAGCTGGTCATTTGTGCTTTTCATACATGAGGGAGAAATGGCTCCGTTCATTTTTCTTAAAATGTCACGTTTATAAGCACAAAACAAAAAGGGCCTGAGAGTTGAAAGCCGGTGTCCGCCTAACATAAAAAAAAAAACATTTTAGGCCCAGATCACACATAAAATGTTTTGCAGGTTTGTGAAACGGGAGACGCATCACGCTGCCTTTTTACAAAGATGTAATGCCACTAGTAAAAATAAAGCTTGCTGAAACTTTTTATTGTCAGACAACCTTCCCATGCGCCCCTAAAACCCTTCCTGTGTGATCAGGGCCTTAGTGGCAGTAGTTTCGTTGTGGCTCATCACGTCATTGTAGCTAATTTTCATGTCATCTCTCCACTTTATATATTCTCTCTGACGCCTCCTGATATGTTGGGAGGTTTTCTGTGAATAAATGATTCACAGCATTCTCAGTCTGCTGGTGGTGCTCTGTCTCATACTCAAGACGCTCAGGGTCAGATTTACACGCTCACACACACTGGCTGGAAAATCCCTCTCAGCCACCCCACCTTCCTCTTCCCCTTCCGCCTCCATGTCCCGTCTGTGTCTTGTAATGTGTCCTTGACGAGGACGTAGCCTCTGTGGCGGATGTGTGTCAACACCTGCTTTGCTGGGGACATCCTGAGAGAGACGCACGTCGTGTCATGTTGACTTTACCAGTGCTTCTTTGAAACAGCTTTAATCACGCGAGAAATGATGTTTCACGCAGTCACACAGTGATTGTCATGCTCTGAATGAGAGAGCCTGTCGTTATTAAATATTAATCATGTCTCTTTCCTCTCCCTTTCCCCTCAGATACATCGGAAAGTCAGATTCCATCACCATCAGCGTGTGGAATCACAAGAAAATTCATAAGAAGCAAGGGGCTGGGTTCCTGGGCTGTGTCCGCCTTCTGTCCAACGCTATCAACCGCCTTAAAGACACAGGCTGTAAGTGTCAGTATTACCCCAATTCTTATTATGTTTTGAATGGGACTGTCTGGAGTTTTTGACCACTGTTAATGTTACAGAATAATGTAAAGGGGGGGCCGTATATGGATTATACTAGTTGTGTCTCGGCCTGCTCCACATGACATATAAAAATGTCGTGAGCATGGAGTATATATTGTCATTGGAATTGAGACTCTTTGGCATTTCAGCCCTTTCCATCTCACAGACACAAAACAAAGAAAAAAGACTTACAAACATGACACCTTACACGGACTCCCCTGCCCTTTCAGATCACTTTCTCCTGGGCGGTAATATCTGCAGGCGAGGTGTGAGTTTTTTGTGTCTGCATGGCTCCAGACCACGACCATATAGTCACATTTTGACTATTTGGATACGTCAGAATAAAAGCACCAGTGATTCTGCTTTGATTTTGTCATTATCAGAATATTTAATTTAACTTTAGTTTTAACTTTATTTGAACAATACTTTATTTGATTTTATTGTAACAGAACTTTATTAAACCTTAGTGTAACAGTACTTTATTTAACTTAATTAGAATAGTACTTTATTTAGATGTATTGTAACAGTACTTTATTTGACTTTAGTGAAACAGTACTTTATTTGATTTTATTACAACAGTACTTTATTTAACTTAAAATGACAGTACTTTATTAAACTTTATTATAACAGAACTTTGTTAAACTTTATTGTAACAGTACTATATTTAATTTTTCTACAACCGTACTTTATTAAACTTTATTATAACAGAACTTTGTTAAACTTTATTGTAACAGTTTATATTTAACTTTACTACAACAGTGCTTTATTTTACTTTATTGTAACAGTTTATATTTAACTTTATTGTAGCAGTACTTTATTTAACTTTACTATAATTGTACTTTTTTAACTTTATTATGACAGAACTGTATTTAAGCTTTATTGTAACAGTACTTCAACTGTATTATAGCAGTACTTTATTAACTTAACAAAACTTTATTTAACGTTATTAAAACTGTACTTTAGTTAACTTTACTATAACTTACTTTTGTTGACTTTATTTTAACTGTATTTTATGTAGTAGTTATTAATTATTTCAGTCATATACAGTCGTTTAGAGGAGATTTCAAAATATTGATATAAGGTATATCGAGTATCATGATATAGCTTAAATATATCACAATATTATTTACAGGGTGTATGGCCCAGCCTTAAGCTGCACTACTGGCACAGTCATCCAAACATGCTCGAGGGTCTTTATAATCATTAATAATTTAGAATTTAGATCAGTCATAGCCCAAGATGTTTTCTAAATCACCAAAGCTGAGTATGAGGCTGCATCTGTCTTTGATGTTGTTCATAAAGCTTAGCTCATACAGTAATAATCAGTAGACTCTTCAGATCTACAAATGCACTGATAAACATTTTGTTGTTAATATAAGAACTAAGGCACTGTAAATAAAAGCCTCTCCAACACGATGCTTTCCTGCATGTTTCCGAATGCCAACATGTTCATGGAAACATTCTTCAGAACACTGTACATTCAGAATTGATCATACACATTTGTCAATGAGGTCCAATGAGTTTTGGCGAGTAACACAAAATAATACACACCTTTGAGGAATCTTAACTTTTGAATGAATTGTTTAAAGTTTGTGTCTTATGATATAACCCTCCTTTCAGAATCTTAAAAAGCTTAAATAACCTTGCAAGGATTTTTTTCAGACAATAGACTTAAATTTGTTTGTGCTGTTTTCATCCTAAGATGTTGATGTACAGCGCTGTGTGTTATTGCACTGATGATTAAATCACTGTGGACGCAGCCGGCTGTGATGCAGTCTGACGCCCAGATGACTTTTTTCCAGATGCTCTTTTGTTTTGTTCTGAAAATGAAAGCACGGTTGCAGCACAGATTTTGTTGCCAAACTACACATGACTTTGTTTGTTTTACTTTAGCGAGCCATTTATTTGTCGTTTAGTTTGCTCAGTTCATTATTCTCTCTACTGAGGTGGAGAATTAATTATTAATTGCAGTTCCTCGTAGCCTGACGCTGAAATGAGTCCGCATCCATCAAGCTGACCTTATACCTGAAGTATGATAAGAAACAGAAGTTAATACTGCAGTGACAGAACATAGAGTAGCTCCTTTTTAGTGTCCTGTCCCCCTCACTAGATCTGACAGAGGCCAGACCCGTGTGTGAGAGGGATCAACACTCTGCCCCTGCCAGAACAGGAAGAGCCAATCAGCATCACCCTGCAATTACAGTAAAAATGTCTCATGTCAGAAGCTAACTGGATAAATGAGACGGAGGCTTTAGTGAATGGCTGCTAGTAAAAGCAGCGCCAGACAGTTGTAGCCTCGACAAAGCCGTCTGGAGTGGTTTTTCCTGCGTGGCGAGCTGCTGGTACCTGCCTGCTGGGCCCGCAGCCCACCGCTCTTTCCTAGAAGCCCCTGACACTGTTGTTTTCCTGAAGCGACACAGGAAACCTGAACCTTGTGCCACAGCTGCGAGTGGTTTGCCTCTGCATTTCCTTTCTCTCCTGGCCTCCTCCTCACCCCTTAGTTTCCCCTTCGGTCTCCTCCACAGACTGGCAGCACGTGCACACACACACACACACACACACACACACACACACACTCACAGAATACCATTGTGACTAACTTCCCTCTATCTCCGTCTGCCGATCTAGACAACCGGTCATTTCAAGCAGACATGCATAATTGTAGAGCTATTAAAGTGTAAGTGTAGATTTGTTGTACTCTCTGTGTTGTGGTTGCTCTCCCCCTGTGAGTATTTGTCATTCCATTGTTTTTTGTGTGCATTTACCAGCGGTTGCAGTTTTGTCCTCTGCACAGGCCTTAGCGAGGGCACTGGGCTGACTCAAACATTTGTGTATAATTTTAGAGCGTCTGCGTCTTTGTGTATGCGACTGCATTGAAACGTATGCACTTAGATGCATCTAAAAGTGGGCGCTCGTCTTTGTGTGTGTGTGTTTTGTGTTTTCTCTGCGGCTGCTGACCTCCGGCCAGCCTTGTAACGGTTTGACCATTGCCTGTTTTGGTCCCTGTTTAGTCTAGACAGACATCCTGAGCTGATCTGCATGACACCCAGACAACAGAGCGCAGATAGTGGCATTTCTCATGTCTGCAGGCAACTTGGACATTTTTTTTTTCTTTCCCCCCTTTCCGCCTGATCTCTCTCCCTCACTCTCAAATTCCGCAGACTTTAAGAAGTTCAGACAAAGAGTTTCCAGACTTTGGCAGAAGTTCATGTCCATGCTAAGACTGAGCGGAATAGTGCAGGCTTTGTACTGAAATTTGTCAAATGTTTGACCTCTGCATTTGAACTGAAGCCTGCTCTGTACCGATGCTCAGTGAGATTTTTACAGCCCGTGGCTGTTCCACAGAGCAGACCATCTGTTCCAGGGCAAAGCCAAGCTGTGGTCTGCAGACACAAGAATGAGAGACGGATAATGAGGGAGAGAGGAGTTGACTCTGAGTGATGTAAATGATACAGAGCAATGGGACTCGTCCAAGGAGGGAGAAAAAAATGCATCCCAACACATGCTCGTTTAAATGTAAATGTCTGACACTGATGAATCTTCTCTCTTTTCTTCTCTGTCTTTCATCTTCCTTCTCATTTCCTGTTTGTCTCATGGTGTTGTCTCTGTCTCGTGTCCCTGCCTTCACGTCTGGGCTCCACTTCTTCTTTCTGTCCTCCCTCTGCAGACCAGAGACTAGACTTGAACAAGCTGAGTCCCAACGATAGCGACACAGTCAGAGGCCAGATAGTGGGTGAGTACAGATGAATCTCCAGGCACCTCATGGTTTGATCACAGGGTGTCATATAAGTATTAAAAGTTGATAAATCAAATGTCGGAAAATTAAGGCCCTTAAAAAGTATTAAAAAGTCTTAATCGCGATTTTATGAAGTATTAAATTTTCTCGGCATTCAAGCATTGACAAAAAGTATCCATGAATCTATAATTTATTTTCCTCCTCGCGACTATTACAAACAAAGATGTGTAGGTAGGCACACTCAGATTGCCACTCGGGGCCATGCACGTACCTGTGCGACATCACGCGCACGTCCAGGCGCCAAACAGAGGAGCAAAAGACAATAAAAAATCCTTCTCATCTTTGCTGAGTTCTGTTGTATGTTTGTGCTCCATAGATTTAATTGCAAACTACAACTGTTTAGTAAGTTAAAGATGCGTTGCTGCTAACGACAGCTTGAAGTAGCGATGAGGTCTTAAGGTTTTTTTGGAAGGTCTTAAAAAAGTCTTAAAAAGGTATTGAAATTAACCTCAGGATTCCTGCATATACCCTGGATAACGATTCAGAGGGTAACTCGATAATGAAACGAGTATCGATGCATCAAAATGTTGATTTCAACACGTGATTTTGTTTTTCTCCGTTTTTTAAAATACAGCAGACTATATTTTTGGTGATCCATAATTAAGGTCCCTTAATCCAGGTCCCTCTCCCCTTCAACCCACCTCCACACCCTCACTTTTGAACCAGGGGGTGCAGTCGGATTGTGTCCACCTGCACATGCTCACGCTCGTCCACTGTGGGGTATACATGCCTGCGTAGGGTCCAGTGTTTGCATAACCTACTGTAATATTTCACCTGAAACAGTTTGCAAGTCACCTCCTATTCAATAATATATGGTCCACATCGTTTTTATTTTAAATAGTCAACTGCACTGATGAATGAATTAATGAATGAATTTGAAAGCACCTTACAGTCTCCTGTGTGTATAAGAATAACACAAGGGGGAGGCGGGGTCCGCCACAGCCGCTGTGTTGTTATTCACACTACGCCAGCAGAGGAGCTGCGAGCAGCCTCTGTCTCCGTTAGAGACACCGGGCAGGCCAGGCATGGGGTTTTAAGGTGAAACAGACTGAGCAGAGACAGAGGTGTTTTAATTTGGTTTATACTGCAGCGTGTGTTGGTCAGCAGGTTTACATGTAATTATTTAGACATTAAATTAAAACAAGCTGCAGCCGCTGTCTTTTGTGAAGATGAATTAGTACAAGTTAACTTTAGCTCGTCCATGCTGTAGACTGTCTCGATGCTACAATGACTTCGCAGTTGAGTTTTGCCTCTTTTGTTCCATCAACTAGGCCTGTCACGATCACAAATTTTGCTGGTCGATTAATTGCGTCAGAAATTATTGCGATAAGCGATAATATTGCATAATATTGTGCTTTTAAGTCCATTTTATTATTGTTGTAATTTTGCTGTTTTTAGACCATTGTTTAAACTTATATAATGATAATAGATGCATATTGATGCAAGTACACCTTTTAAAGAGAAATAAACATTTATTTAACGAGAATATTTACAAATGCAAAAAAGAAAATTTAAATATCCGAAATAACACGTAAAAATATCAAAATAAATACAAACAAATAGACAGTCAGTCTCTCACTCTCAGGTGTGCAGTTACGTTGGTCGTATTCGCTCTTCTTGCTGAGATGGTTTTAGAACAAACCCGGCACACCGGCTCGTCCAAATTACTGGGCTGCCCTCTGTCATTTGGTTTAAATCCAAAACACTCCCACACAGGGGCCGTGGCATTTGGTTTAGGAACAAGTTCCCTGTCCTTCTCTTGTGCTCAGCTCTTGGTTTTCTTCTCCGCCTCGTCTCCCCTTCACGAAGATCGCACTGTGTGTGTATAGCCCGTAGCCCCGCCTCCCCCACAGAGAAAAAGACACTCGATGACAAGAGCTTTCCCTGCATTCCTTACGCTAATGAACCAACTCACCTGGCTGCCAGACGATGCACGGCAGTGAATGCTCTTGTCGTCCAGTCTCTTTGGTGGAGAGAGACGAGGAAAACAAACACGCATGAATATGGCAATTAATCGCGGCCTGAAAAGTTACCAGATGCACATCAGGTTGTCCCCCATGCATTGTGTATTAAATATTCAAGGAGGGTGATATATGAGCCACTAATGGGCAACATTTAAAGCAAAAGGAAACAATGTTAACACCGCGACTAACTTGTTAAAGTAATTTCAGCGCTTTCCTTTAAATAACCTTGTTGTCTTTTAGTAGCGGCTTTGACAGCTCTTGAAGTTACGCCGGTCACAATAATTATAGTATTGACTGATAGTGCGATATTTGGACATGACATTGATCATCATCATCTCTCCTGAAACACATGAACATGCCTCCTTGCCACAGAAAAATGTAACTATTGTGGCGAGCTGCACTTTCCTGCTACTTGATGTGTTTTCGGGGTAACTGCAGTCTTCCTGGAGCTACGCTTAGCTTATCTTTTACACAGAAGGCATCACTTGGTTTTGTTTGTGGTCACCAAATTTTGTATGAAAGTCTCAAACTGAATACTTTTTGGCAACTCCTACAAAGGTACGAAACAGGGTTCCTACGGTCGTGAAAAACCTGGAAAAGTCGTGGAGTTTTTATAATCACATGTCCCAGGCCTGGAAAAATCATAGAATTAGTACAAATCATTGGAAGTTTTGGAAAAGTTGCAGAATTTCGTTGTGTGTAATGAAATTGTAAAGGCCAAAACACACCAGTGGCAAGCGCTACTCGTCAGAAAATACGCCCCTATTATGTTCAATGTACAAAAATTAAAATACAAAATTATGTGGAAATGTGTGTATGATGATGAAAATAACATTAAGTACTAAAACATAATATAACGTTTGTAAAATAGATGATCATTCATTCAGGAATATCTGGAAAGTCCTGCTCTCATACGTGCGAACTTTCCTCAGGGAGCCCCAGATGCACCTGCTTCTTTCCAGTTTGACAAAATTAAGAACTTCCTTTATCCAGAGAGTGTGTGAAGGAGGTGTTGGGGACCTCCACTTGAGTAACGACAGGCCTACATGGAGCGTGTAATGACCGTCCATGTTCTGTTTTGACTCTTGCATGTTGATGCAGAGTGTACAGGTCACACATACTCTTGAGAGTATTCCTTAATGCCGTTACAGGTATGTAAATGTGACATACGTCCAGCTCCAGTCTGCCAAATGTTCTTTTTGCTCAAAAAGCCGTCAAATTTTTCACAGCGTTCCTATAAAGCTTGGGATTAGATTTCATAACAGCAGACCCTCCCTGCAGAAAGAGAAGATGAAAATGCAACTTCCTTTAACCAGACCCTCCAGGATACCACTGATAAAACTGAACCCCGTTCCTGTTACTCATAAAGATATATAGCCCCGTTCTGTGATAAAATATCTGCACTGTAATCTGCTGTCTAGTAACAGCGCGTGCATCTGTCTGCCATGTGTTGCTGCAGTGAGCCTGCAGTCGAGGGACCGGATAGGCACAGGAGGCCCTGTGGTGGACTGCAGTCGGCTGTTTGACAACGATCTCCCAGATGGGTGAGTTTGGGGAAATCTCTTATCGTCTCAGTTGTTTTAGAGGCTGTTGCAAATCCTAAACAATATAAATGCTGCCTTCAAGCGCGGAGTTGAAGATGTCCGAAATCTGATATTTGCCTGTGGTGAGACAGAGCAGCGAGACAGAACACTACTAGATGGTTCTGTGGCTGCTTAACCATGTCCGCTCACTGCTGCGTCTGTGTATGTTTCTGCTGCCAGCTGGGAGGAGAGGAGGACGGCGTCTGGACGAATCCAGTACTTGAACCACATCACACGCACCACACAGTGGGAGAGGCCTACCAGGTGAGTACACTCTGCAGCCCACAGAAACTCCAACCCAGACCTCTTAAATCAAACAGCAGCAGCAGGATGGAAGACCGCATCTCTGACCTCAGTGCTCCCAAACTGGGGGGAGTCTGTCCAAAACTGGAGTGGGCTCCACAAAAAAAAAGGTGTCAGACAGACTCGCTCCAGACAGTGGTGTTTAATGATGTGGAAGAGCCAGGGAAGTCACGGAGCTGACAGGAGCGGGAATCGAGGCATCTCTTCCCCCGCTCTGTCTCCTCTTTTTGTATTTATGTTTCTGTTTATCGTCACCAGGCATGACCTCAGGCTGTCTCACCACGTTTGTGTTTGATGGTCTGTTTGTGTGCTGCCTTTATGGATTTCCCAGTTAGCACCTAAAGACTTCCTAAACGCTGCCTATTGATTCGCTGCTGTTTGTGTTTGTAGAGATGACTTTCTCCTCTTCCTTCTTATTACACCTTCTTACTTTCTTTCTTAGACCAGGTGTGTGTTTGTGCACAGACCCTAATATCCCACTAATAATCAGAATAAAAGCCCAGTCACAATAAAAATACCCCATGTAGCCACGTTAATCAGAGGAGACCTGCAACTTGAGCTATTTGGAAGAACTTAGCTACCAGCTACTCTACATCAAAATGAAGTTTCACTACAGCGAAGCTATCCCCAGTGAAATGTAGCACGCTAAGCTACGAGAAAATGGCAAAAGCAGCTTGCTACTTGCAAAGTTACTTTAATTTTTTTACTTTATGTCTAATCAGGGTTACCTCAGTGATCAGAAAAACTGTCAGCCAAACAAACACGCAGCAAAAATTGGTCAGTTGAACCATTTACTCTTGAATAACAGACTTAAATTAAAACTTTCTTCTTTTTTTGGAGACTCTATGACATTTGAACATGTCCTTCAATAACATGACATCATCATTCTTTCTCCCTCCTCTTCCCCCTAATGCATTTAAACAGAATAAAGTTAAACCTTTTCTTTCTCAGTATGTCACTCTCTTTCTCCACGTGAAACTGCAGCTACTGATCACCTCACCTGTCTTCTCTGTGGTTCTCTCCTTCCCTCCTGTCCCTCTCAGGCCTGCGTCAGAGTACTCCAGCCCTGGCCGGCCTCTCAGCTGCATCGTGGACGAGAACACGCCCATCAGCACGAACGGGGCCACGCCCACCACAGCGTTGCCGCCTATCGACGGCGACCAGCGCGCCCAAGAGAGACGGGTCCGCTCCCAGAGGCACCGCAACTACATGAGCAGAACTCACCTGCACACACCTCCAGACCTCCCTGAGGGATATGGTTAGTGGGAAACCATTACAGTGTGCATACTGTGTATGAATGAAAGCTTGTCATCTACACTTATTGCTCGGCCCTTGTTAAAATAATTAAAAAGGTTTGTGTAGTACACGTTTAATTATATAAACAGTCAGATGTGAGCAGATCACTGCCCAAATGATCATTTGTATATCAGTTACTCACCTCCTGTTACATCAGATTTGTGAAGAAAACTTCAACAGTGAACGAACAATCAAAAAAGTCTAACGCCAGGGCCACACTGCCTGTGAAGCGCAGCGCACCGAAATTCTTGCGTGAGCCGGAGCACCTCCATTCACATCAGACGCGCATTTCTCCGCGCCGGCCGACAAGCGATTCTGCTCTCAGCTGTTGTTTTTCCATCATGGGTAACTGCCCAGCTTGATACATTCACTCGCGGCTCGCGCAGAAAATAGACCAGACACCGAAATGATCGCTGCAGGGCCGGCGGCGGAGCTGCGCGGCGCGGCAGGTGTGGATGATACAATCGGTTAACATGGGCGCCGAAAGGAAACTGGCTTCACTTCTCGGCGCTTCGAGGCTATTCGCGGCGCTTCCATGGGCGGTGTGGCCCTGGTGTAACATTCTTCATGAATTGAAGTAAACAGGGTCCCTGTTCAACAGCAGCAAAACTATATTGAAACATCCGTTAACAAACTCACACACAGCTCCTGCAGTATAATCCAAGTCTCATTTATCCAGTCATGTGCTCATTACTTCACAAACACATGCATATTCGCTAAAACATTTAACAACATAAAATCCGTCAGTACCATAGACTGTATTTTAAGATGGACGATGTGTCTCCACTTCCTCCTAATGTACAAGAATGAAGCCAAAATATCCCAGATACAGGCCCTGCCATCTAAGGTCACACCAATCGCTGAAACGCTAGAAACGAGACGCCAGTAAAACCATTGTTTTCCTATGATACAGAGTGTCTGACCAGCGTTCAAGCATTTTTGTAGACACTTCTTTTTTGGACGCACATAGACGCTGAAAAGTTAAAATATATTCAACTTTTTGAGCGTCAGACGCCAGTAGCTAGCGCAAATTAAATAAGCGCTTCCAGCGTTTCAACCGTCTTTGAAGCATCCGCGTCTCTAGCATCTCATTTCTGTGTGATCGCCCCCTTACACTGGTGTTATAATTTGAAGCCGGAGTCTGTACAATAGCAATCTCAGTGGTATCAAGTTCCCACACATGCACCTGTCCGATCTATCGTGAGCAGCGTCATTGATTGTGAGCACACCAATTTGCACACACAGCTGTCAATCATGACGTCAAACCCCTTTTTATAATATCAGTTAACTAATTAAAATCAAAATTTAAAGAAAAACAAGCACTCGAACGAACATCAGTGTAAAAAGAACTACGTAAAATGACAGAGACCAACTTTGGTTTTAGCTTGCCCCTTACGCTAACATGGAGGGGGCGGGATTTATGACATATACTGCAAGCCAACCGTCAGGGGGTGATCAAGATGTTTTGGCTTCACTTTTGGGGAGCTGTTATCTCGTCCATCTTTATACACAGTCTACAGTCAGACAAACAATGTGCATTTGAGCTCTGCTCTTGCTGATATCCAATATGCTGGTATTTAACAACTCATTTGGCTGATAATCGACACTGGTATCTATACATATATATTTATTTTTCCCCACCTAGTTCTAGTGATCATCAAGTAACATCATATCATCCATGTGTACTCTCATCGTGATGGCCCACCAGCAGATGAAAACATGAATAGATTAAATTAATTTTTCTAGTCCTTCTTCCTTGTCTCTTTTTCAGTCTTGATTTAATCCATTAAAACTCCTGCCATTTGCACACAACAACTGCCAGTTGACTAAACGAAAAAATCAAAAAACAGTGGTAAATTGACAAGAACCCGACCTGATTCAAGCTCGAGGGAATAATCAGAAATTACAGCCCGGCCCGGCCTGAACTCGGCGGGTCAGGTCGGGCCCAATCGGGCTCAAGCAGCAGATTAGAGCTCTAACAATATATTGTGACAACATGCACGTTTACATCGTTAAAATTATTAAATTCTAACCATTTTAAAATCAACTCAAATGAAGATGATCAAGAGGTACTTGAGTCCATCTGACAGGGATGTATGGGTGCATCTGAAGAGTTTAAAAACCACAGCACTATGCTATCAATACTGTATGTGCAGCCTGTCCTATCCTGAGACAGATAAATATTTAATATTCTGATTGCATTAGAGTATGCTCTGTTTTTTTTAATCCTCCTATGAAAGCCATCTCTGCTTCCACCATGAATCATTGTATCATCATTGTAATGCTGCTGTGTTAATTGCTTCGCCTCTGCCCTCCTCCCGGCTCAACACTGGGCTCAGTAACCCAGCTAATCTGTGTCCTCATTCAGTCCAGTGACGCTGCAGCTCCACACAAGGAGCCTGAAATACTGGCTCCATTTTAGACGATCTAATTGAATTGATCTGGCTGTTAAAGGCTGGCGGCAGCCATTCGCTCCCCACCTCTGTTCTCCTCTCTGCACACAGTCAAACAATCAGACGCATTCATGTAAAAGCAAACACACACACACACACACGAACTGCGATTCCCCCACACGGCCCGAGGGAGTTTTGTTTATCCTCACAGTGAAGTCTTCTGTAGGATTTGGGAGCCAGAGTCATAGAAGCATATCTTGTCTTTGCTCTCAGACCTTCAGATTAAGAGGCTCCTGCGCTCGTCTCTGTATCTCTCCTGCTTCCTCCATCTCCGTCCTGACTTTCTTGTTCTTGGGCAGTTCCTATAAAACCTGTCAACACCTCTGATTCTCCTCATGTGAGCGCACACCAGCCAAGATATGTCACCCCGTGTGTCGAACGTATATCGTGCACTCATCGGGGTGGGCGTGGGTTTGGAAGGTTATGTGTACATGCATGTTAAAGCAGGGCGGTAGGTCCAAAGGGATGCCAGAGAAGAGCTCTCTGGCAGGCCGTTTCATGGAAATATCTCTGTCAGGCGGTGATGAATGAGCTCACCAACTCAAAAGTCAGACAGCCCCCATCTCTCCTCTCCTTTCCTCTCCAATGTTCTTCACCCTGTGTCTCACCTCCCCTCCTCCCTCCTCTTCCTGGCTGCCTTTTGGGATCTCTACTGACTCAGGCGCTCCTTTTATCTCCATCTGTGTGATCTCTCTCTTACGCAGACAGATTATAGGCACAATCTGTCTGCATGTGGCACATGAGTTAAACTCCATTTCATTTTCCATATATTTTAAACAACTGACAGAATGCTCAATGCCAAGGTTGAGGCTAAATGTTGTAGTTCCTCCCTTTTAATTGGATTTACATCGTTGTTTAACCAGCCAGATATCGCATCAATTAATCCCATTTTTATGTCTTCCTACAGAGCAGAGGACCACACAGCAAGGCCAGGTGTACTTCCTCCACACTCAGACGGGTGTCAGCACGTGGCATGACCCCAGAGTACCGAGGTACGTCCACCACAGGATCTGTGACGACAATAGGATGTTCTCCACTGTCAATTTGTACTGTTTTGCTCCTTTTACTTCCCACCATATAAACTGTAGAATTATAAAATACAGGAATAATAAAATGAGAAATTGAGCTGTCCGCAGATGCTTGTGCCTCATTTCCACCGCAAGAATTGGCTCGACTCACTTTCAGTACCAGGTGCTTTTATCGACTTTATTTCCCACTATGGATAGTAACCCCTCAGTAAAGGCGGGATTCTCAGCTGATCGCCTTAGCGACGCCACATGAAACTGCTGTGACATAATCTTTAACAGAGCACTCTCTGAATCCTGTCATCAGCAGCCAAACAGAGGAGCGTCTGCTCTTTATTGTGATAAGCCGTCATTGATTGATAATCCAAACCAACTTGCACACAAGCTAATACTCAAACAGAAATATGTATGCTAGTTAATATAATGTTACATAGAACAAATAAACACACTTATACTCTGTAATTAATGCATGTTACTTATTATGTAAAACACAGCTCATAGACAGACTGTGTGCCTTTACTTTGAAATGTGGAAATGACATAGCAGGCGATCACATGCTATCCAAAAAATGGCTGAGTGATATAAATGTATGTTCGTTCGGACAAACAGTGTAAAATTGGTCTCAGAACTCCACGTGTGTAAGATGCAACTCCACAAGAGTAGAAACTAGATTCACACATAGCTAATTGAAAGTTGTAAAAAATTCACAAATGCTTTTAATTCATTGGTAAATTTCACAGATGTTTCTTTTTTTCTGGCTCTATTTTTTAATATTTGAGCAAGGTGTTTATATTTAGAGATTACACATTAACACACCGATTGTTAATTTGTTCACATAAATACTATTGAAACAAATATATCTCCATAGACGTAGTGTACGGCCAATTTAACAGGCTGACATTTTTTAAAATCTGGGTAGAGTGAATGAATGAGTGATGGTAGCTTTGCTATTTAAAAATGGTGGGTTTGTGCAGGATGACCTGTGTCAAGCTTGTGACATTTCTCTCTGACAGATCAGTGGTCTGCAGTGTTTTAAAGGAATACTTCACTCTCATGGTGGTGCAGTGCCCCAGAGCATGTGGGTTTGTGGTTCAAATCCAGGGTCGGGGAGCCCTTTTGTGGGGAGTTTGCATGTTCTCCCCGTGTCAGCGTGGGTTTTCTATTGTTCAGAAACTTTTAAATAAATCTGAGTTTTGTGGTTTCCTACCATCCATAAACTTCAAAATGTTTAGCTGTCGGAGCATGAATGTAGTTTTCTCGTCCATCCAGAAGTGCGTCTTGTGCTTCTCAGTCGCCATGGTGTTTGTTTTTTTTTGTTTTTCCGGGAGTTACTGCACTGCTGCCACGTCATCTCCTTCTTCTTCCGGTTGAAAGCCTGCGAAAGAAAAAGTGGTGCATGCGCAGAACGCCGAGTGGATACATACAGCAATAGTTTCATTTTCAATCGAATTATCTAGGTGTGTTAGTCGAGCTACAGATAGTCCCAATTTCAGTCAGACTAGGCTGTTTACATGCATTTAAAAGTCCGGTTTCAGTCCAACTAAGCCAATAATTAGATTTTCTCAAGCCTCGAATTCATTAAGAAAACTTTGTTTTCCTCGTATGCCTCCACGGTGAACGGAGAATCCAAAGAAAGTGAAAATTCTTAATGATTTGAAGTGAAGGGGGGGTTGCATTTAACAACAGCAAAACTGTACCGAAACGATTAGAAAACTCTCACTGAACTCCTGCAGTATAACTCAACTCTCATTTATCCAGTCCTGCACTCAGTATTTGCCAAACACATCCGTTTTACTTAAACATTAGACCTGGGGGAGCATGTGCTCAGGGTGTGCTACACGTAGGTGGAAGTGTTTTATAGAATATGCATTTTTATAGCATACAGCTCGATAAGTTAGACACGAGTTGTGTGGGAGTTTGTAAACAGATGTTTTGATAGGCTATAATTTTAAACGCTGCCCCATGACTTCAATTTATGGAGAATGTTCGCCTTTTTTGGATTCTTTGTTCACTGTGGAGTCATGTGAGGAAAAACAAAGTTTTCCTTACGAATTTAAGGTAACACGCAGTATGTTTCGTATCAGCTCAGCCTGCTTGAAATTCAGGCTGTGGTGGTACTAAAAAAGTACCAGGTACTATGCACATTTCTGCCAAATAAAACCAAAAAAGATGGTGTCAAGTAGAGCTGAGCCTTACCATGTTGTGGAAATGTGGCATCAGATTATCATTCCTTACGGTCCTCCTAAATTTACCAGCCCTCGCTGACATAACTGACATTACACATTCTGCAGCTTGTGTCATGGTCTCTTAGTGCAGGTCTCCTTGTAGTTTGCTGTAAACCTGCAGCTGATTATGAGCTTGACATGCTGTGAGAAGACCCATGTCATGGGGCTCTGAGCGATTTGGCCCTCTGGCACGAGCGCTGAAAGGCCTCACTCTGGGACACATGGCCGACAGCACACAGGTCTCAATCAGCCATACCAGAGGCTCTTGGGCAATACTCAGTCAGGCATGTGTGTCCTATTGATTACCATATTCCAAAAAGAAATGCACACAGATCTTCATGTGCATGTGCAAAGACAGGCTTCACTGCACTCCAGACGCTATCAATAAAACATGACTGATATTATAATACCTGGCCGCTGCTTGCATTCTATCAGTACATGAGTGATAGAAGATATTTTTATTGCTCTTGATAGGAGGCTATTGGTCACGCCACACCTCACCCGGTGCTCCTCAGACAGCTCCAACATTAGCCGATGGCTTTGCTGCCAAGCTCTCATCGCTCGTGAGGCTCTGGTCCCTTTTGGCTGTAACACTGCAAAACAGAGGAGTCAGCGCCAGCACAGCGAGCCTGCTGTAATTTCTGAACCTTTTTGTCTCCATGGAGTCCAGCTGAAAGGGGTTGCAGGGCAGCAGTAAATAATTTAGATGGGAGGAAGAAGAAAAATAGAATAAAAAGTGATTTCTCAGACATCTCGGAATCTTGCTGTCCGCCTGAGTCCAGTTAGTCAGTGCTTTGGTATGTTTTATACCTAGAATTTGATGTGTGTCTCTCTTTTCTCCCGTCCCACCCTACGCCGCCACTATTTTTCTTAAATTCTTGCATACTAAAGCTTTATTGTCTGCTCTTCTGCTGCATTTCAGAGATCTGAGTAATGTGAACTGTGAGGAGCTGGGTCCTCTGCCTCCTGGATGGGAGATTCGGAACACTGCAACCGGGAGGGTTTACTTTGTTGACCACAACAACCGAACCACACAGTTCACAGACCCACGCCTCTCCGCTAACCTGCATCTAGTCCTAAAGTAAGTAGAGTGCTAATGAGCCAGACAAAATGTAACAGTAGCCCTTTTTACACAGAGGTTGCGCTATAGGGCCGCTGCAGAGTCCCTTCTTCCTTTACCTTTGCATTTTTAAGCGAGATTTATACTTTTTATATGACAAAGCCTACGCCGTTGTGAGCATTTATACTTGTGCAGTGTGTGTCTGTGTCACTCTGCAGTTACACCTCCAAAACTCTAGTCGGTGGCGGAGTTTTCTTTGAAGTGCTGTAAAGTTTAGTTGATCCAAAGCACACATTAAACACACATTAAACACACACAAGTGCACAAATCAGCTTCACTATAACTCGCAGCATTCACAGACAAACACTTGTCTTTATCTGGACACATTTTCCCCACAAATACAACATGCTAATGTTATTAGCACAAGCCTATGGCATTTTACATTCTATAAATTAGCCTAGCAGCTAACAGATTTCCTCTGCTCATATGAAGCCAGGATAAATCACACACAAGACTTAAAATGCTGCCGCCTACAAGGAGAGATAACTCTGTCCCCCCCGTTACACAATTCTGTCTTTTCTTTTCTCCAGAATGGAGAGGCAGCATAATGGTGTGTATCTATTGAAATAGATTAGAAGGCACATTAGAAAAACAGGGTTTGAAAGCAGAGAGATTTATTATCTGTCTTTACTTTGTCTTTGTTTTGCGTCTGCAGTCCAAGCCCAAGCCCGAATGGTTCTCGAGGAGGCATCGAAAGTCAGAATGTCAGGTAAAGTTTGGGCTTCCTGCCAGCAGACTGAAACACACACACACTCTCTCAAACATTCACAGACTTGCTCACTTTGCCTCCCCCTCAGCTGATGTTTTACAGTGGGATCCTGTGCCAAGGTGTGTTCACCACCTGTAGAGGTTCAGCAGTCAGAGTAGCCCTTCTGCTGAGCAGACGTTTGTGTGCGCGCACACACACACACACACAGAGAAATACATACGCAGTGCACTCCCACACAGTCTCTCTTTCCACACAAAAATTCAAATTCCTCAGCCCCGCAGAGATTTTGATCATAAAGGCGTTTTAGCACACAATCCGTCACAAAGCTGGCTTTGGCCAGACATCAGATAGCTGAGTGGAAACCGAGGCTGCAGTGTCTGTGGCTGAGGAGCGTCTTACATCCAGGAAACGGAGCATAAATTTGATGCCCAAGTCAATGAATGAACTGTGTGTGTCCATCTGTGCAGGTTCATGTGTGTTAGTACATGCTTCTGTACTTGGTACATGCCTGCGTGCATGGATGCACGTGTTCAGAATTTCTTCCCCTGTGCAGCTGTTCAAACACATACTGTGCAGCGATAGCCGTAGAATTACCCACAGCTCCTTGCTCCACAAAGGTGGAGCGGTGTATGGGTGCCTTGGTGGGCCTCCTCCGCCTGACTTCATTCCTCCTCCATGCAGAGAGAGAGGGAACGCATCGACGGAGAGATCAGGTTTCCTTTTTTTTTTCCTGTTCTGATGGATCAAAGAACGTGTTTTGGATTTTGTATTCGTTTTGCTTTTTTTCATCTACAGCGCTCTGAGAAGTCTTATAAAAATGTAGGCTGGCACGCCACATTTGTTTTTAATGTAGGAACTTTGTCCTGAGCATGACTATGCCCAGATGTGTCAAAATCTAATGCATACAGTTTATACTGTGTATATATATATTCTTGTAGGACAATTAGTGCACATCAAAGCCAGGGAGCTGGCAAGTATTTTAATGTTTTATCTCAGGAATGAGTTTATACACGGATAAAAAGATCTGTCTCTTTATAGCTATTAATGTTTTTAGTGCTGTGCAGGTGTCATTAAAGGTCCCATATTCTGCCCATTTTCAGGTTCATACTTTTGTTCTGGGTTTCTACTAGAACATGTTCACTTGCTTTAATGTTATAAAAACACTTTATTTTCCTCACATTGTCTCTCTGAACATACCTGTTGTCACCCTCTGTCTTAAACACTTTATTTTAGGACCTGTCTCTTTAAGCCCCCTCCCGAAAAACCCAGTCCGCTCTGATTGGTCAGTGTTTTGGGTCTTCCACATCTGTACCCTCGGCTTCTCTGCACTGTAACTGCAGTCGGGACTGTAACAGCACTGTAGTGGTGTTTTCTGTCTTTATAGACCGTTTCACTGGAATTGCATCGCAGGCAACAGTCTTAGTCCATATTCACTTGTGAGCAGATGTTATTCACTCATGCTGCCTTAAAATGGAGCTCATTTGATCGTTGCTACAACTAGGGCTGCCCCCTAATAGTCGACCAAATGTTAGTCAACCAGAAAGGTCGTTAGTTGGCAAGATGTCAGTGGTCGCTTAGTCACAGAAAAGAAACGTAAAACTCTATCAGGAGCTGCGCCTTGTCAAAAAATCCAAACCTATATGACTGGACCATGTATGACTTTAATTTCAAAAGGACAGACACAGGAAGTGTCCACGCTCAGCAGTCAGACAGGAGTCAGGTTAATTTCCAGGGCTGGTACCTGCGGTTATTCCACAGGCTAGTTAATAACATGTCGGGCAGGAAATCCAAAGTGTGGGATCATTTTGAGAAGGTGAAGGACGAACCCAAGGTGATATGTAAACTCATCTTCATTGGTCGACTACAAACATGACGTATCATCTGAAACATGGAAGTAGCTACATGCCCATTAGCCCACAGCGTCATTAACAGGCGGCTCGCTCAGTGTGTGACGTGCACTTGGAGATAAAATATAGGCCTATATTAATGAAGGTTCATTAGTACGGTTTTGTATTTCTCTGTAATGTAGCACAGTGTTAACAATGTTACTGATGTTATTGATCCACACAGTATTTATGCACCACCTGTACCTGCTTTAAAGACATGGAAATCAGACTTTTACAACATGGGACCTTTAATTACAGTTGTGCATTTTTGTGTTATGTGGTTTTATGTATTAAAAAGTTACCCAGTATGAGTGTTAGATTCTGGCTGCAGAGCGCTGTACATCTCCTGGTTATTCAAGGACACTTGAAGAAGAGATTTATGAAATAACATCTTTATAAATTGTGCATGACGAAGGTTTAACCTGAGTCCATTCTCATCATTAACTCTGTAATGGACGACGGTCTGTTTGGTGCAGTTTCTGTCCTAACTGAAGCTGCTCCACTGCTGCTAATAGAACAGACTTTGGAGTGACTTTCTCACTCGTGACAAAACTCTGGAAAAGATATCAGTCGTCATGGATTTCCATCAAGACATCTGCCTTTTATCAAGTCAGGGATTTTAGAAATTTTCACCCCTCCTGTTCCGTCATCCCACAAAAATGTTCGATATATATATGTCCGTCAAAGTTAAAGTTTATTGCCTTTTTTTATTTGCCAAAGACACTCCCTGAGCATCCAGACCAGGGTTTTTTTTGTTATATTTCCCCTGTGATGTTGCAATCTTCTCCACATTCAGCCCCCCTGACTGGTCAAGGTCACTGTTCAATAGGTAACTGAATCCTTGTCTGGTTTTAAGACCTGGCTGCAGGACTGCCCGCTGCACAGTTGCATGAGTAATAACTGTGTCATTTCCCCGACGTTTGTGATTTGTCGCGTCGCAGAAAACATTGCTTTTATTGTTCCGACTTGTCTCTGCAGCGAGCATCTTCAGGTAACATGCACCAGATTTCGTGCTCATCAGCGAGGAGCTGGAAAGAGAAGAGAGAGCCGTGGGGCCACAGAGCTACAGAGACAGAGCAGGAATGTTTGATTTATGGGTGAAAGTGCAGGAAGAGATGCCTCCTCTCCCCTTCCTCCTCTCCCACCCTCTGAGTCGTCCTCAGTGTTTGGGTGCTGTCGGGAAAGTGCCCTTCCTGCCTCCCCTCTCCCTCCCTCACCTTCCCTCCCTCTGAGTCTAGTCTGCAGGAAATAAAGGGATTCAGGAGGAGGTCTCGAGTGTCCTGTGGGGCCCTGTGGCTTTCTGGGATAGCAGGAAGTGATTGAAAAGCCAAACTGGATTCTGCAGGGCAGACACCAGAGACCAAACTCGAGTCATTTTGTTAAGGAGAAGTTGTCATTGTGGTGGAGGAGAATGTGAGCTGTAGGGCGGATACTTGAGAGTAGTAGTTTTCAGTCACATTTCAGACTGTCATGAAGTAAACTGAGCGACAGTTAAAGTTTCTCTGTGTGTTTGTTTATTTTAACCTCAGCATCACGGTACAGCCTACATATCCATACGACTGACGTGTATGCTTCCACCACCCTCTGTGCTCGCCTCTACAGTCTGGTGTTTATGATCCTGCTCAGGGCCGAGCATGCCTGCTACCCCCCACCGGAGTGCAAAAGGCCACTGTGTAAATAATCCTTTAGTGCCGGCCCCATAAAGGCTCTTTTGATTCTGTGTGTGTGTGTGTGTTTGTTGTGCCTCCCTACTGTGCCACCCTCTGAGGGCGTCTTCCCGAACACAGCGCCCAGTTCAAAAGTTGCATTCTTCGTCCAGTGACAGAGTGAAGACCTCTGTCATCATTAACCGCAGATGATATTCACAGCCACGCTATTGATACTGCGGTTAACCGCTGTTTTGTCACACTGTTAAAAGAAACTGTTTTAACTTAAAAGAGTTGGTGTCTGTGCTGCTTTAAAATTTGAAGTTGACTGAATTTGAGAAGACAAGTTGAGGTCATTGTGTAGTAAATAGAAACAAACTTTTCTAGTCAAATAACTAATTAGATTAATTCAGTTGTTCTAACACTCTGTTCAGAAAAGATTCGCTACAAGACGAAGTCGAAGCAGGCAACTACCTGCAATGTGCCATTGTGCAACGTTGTGAAAACCTGCCGATTCACACCAAGTCAACTAGATGAGACGATGTATTGTATTATTTTGTGGCTGAATATAATTTGTAGCTTCTTCAGCGAGGACGGAAACAGACACTACAAGCTGATTGACTGGTGAAACAGGTGACGTGCTTTAAAACCAGCCGCTGGTGATTTGACCAGCTGAGTGTCAGGTGACACCATCAGCCAGCTTGAGTCGAGCTCAGACCAGCCAGCCAGTTCACACCGCTGCTACTTTTCTCTGCAACATTCCAGAAACGGTTTTGTCTCGTCGTGAATCTTTGGTCTGAACTGGACTTTACAGGTCCAGTCTGTAGGATTTAGGCAGATGTATTTACAGAATAAAAAATAGTAAGCATGTTTTCTTCAGTGTTTAATCACCGTGTTTTCGTTACCTTACAATTAGCCGTTTATATCTTTATAGGGAGCAGGTCCTCGCCCACTGATTCCACCATGTTGCACCACCGTGTTTCTACAGTAGCCCAGAACAGACAAGCTAAACACTGGCTCTAGATAGGGCCATTTACTTTTGAGCATCAGCCACAGTAGTAGTAGTAGTAGTAGTAAAAGACGTGAAACTGCTTTATTCAGTGATTTTACCGGTTTAAATCACCTGGTCCATTTGTTTTGGAGAGGAAGAAACCTCTCAGGAGTTTACGCTGGGCACATGGGAGACAGTTCACATGGTTGCAGTCCGCAATCCTCACCACTAGATGCCACTAAATCCAACACACAGCTTCTTTAAATCCTTAAGTTAGGTAACCTTGGGGCGTCAGTGGCTATTTGGTAGAGCAGGCGCCCCATGTACAAAGCTGTCGCTGCAGCGGCCCAGGTTCGACTCCAGCCTGTGGCCCTTTGCTGCATGTCACTCCCTCTCTCCCCCCTTCATCCTTCTCTGGCCTATCCATTAAAGGTTAAAATGCCCCAAAAAATATCTTAAAAAAAAAAAAAAGTTACGTAACCTTAACAATTTAGGTACAACTGAACTGAGCCGTGGGTGCATTGGCCTATTGTACCATGACATCACGTCTCCCTGACAGCCAAAAACAAAAAAAATCAGTAAATTAATTCTAAATAACAATTGAAGGTTACAAATGATTAGCTCACCCTTAACAGTCAACTCTAATCAGATAAAATGTGAAGTGATGAAGCCAGCACATTGTGTGTAAAATATCCAACTCACAGCTAGTTAGCTGGCTAACATGCTAACATATTCCCAACTGCTTCTTTGCGTATGACATCATACATAGGTGATCTGTCTGGATGGATGGCAGGAAACTGGAGGCAAAGACACAACACTGCACAAAGCCCATGAGCTGTGCTGTTTACAGGTTTTTCAATCGATCAAAGTGGATAAAAAAAAAAGACCACGTAAAGTCCCGAAAATAGGACGTAAAGGGAAGAAGTAAGGGGAAAAAAGTCACTGAGAAATAGCAGCAGATGTGGATCAGTTACCTCCGTCTTCAGTCAGAGCAGAGTCGACTAATTTCAATAAACCTTAAAGTATAGCTGCGTAACATCGATAACATTAGGAGGTCTTAAGGACGATACTTGCTGCGTGCAGGTTCATCCAATGCTTTCATGTAGTCATGTTCCTCTGTTTCCAGTTCACACGGTATTTGGATTTATCACTTCCTGCTCTCCATCTGAATTTCGCACATCATAGTAGTCACATGATCGCAAACAAGCTATAAGCAAAATGGACTAAACGTATAAAAATGTATCAGAAGTTGTGGAGACGGACTGCGCAAAAAAGCCGGAGTGCTCTTTTCTTTAGCTGGCTGCATACGCTCTCACGTCATTGGGAACAATTTAAAAAAGATGCTAGCACTCAGACAAGAACGCTACGTGGACACAGACGCTAACTCCGTTGTGGCCATATGTGTAGTAACTGCGTTTAGGATGTGTCCAGTACATGGTCTGAGTTTCTCTCTGTCTTCGTCTCAAGACAAATCTTTTGACTTGTAAAATGTACCAGTGTGCCTGTGCGGCGTGGCCTCGATGACCCTCCATTACCTCAAGTGTACATGATGAGTCAAAAGCAACAGAGGATCTGTTTGCAGAACTTTCTGTCCCTCGGTCGTGTTCTGCTGCTCGCCTGTTAGAAAGTCTTATTTTAGTTCAGTGAGACCACCAAGTCTCTGCCAGGTGGAGAGAGGAGGCCGTGAGAGTTCGTGAGAGGGGTAGCAAGTGAGGGAGATGTCTTACCTCCACTAAATCCCACCTCCACCTATGTCTGTGTGTGTGTGTGTGTGTGTGTGTGTGAGGGGCTGAGGCAGCTGTTTGACTTGATGTGCTTCCCAGATGACCTCAGTGTGTTTACTCCTCGTACTCTGCAGTCAGCAAAGGACAGACAAAAAGCTCTTACTCTCACAGAGCTGTATTTTGAGTTTCTTGGCGTCTGTGTGTTGTTTTTGAGCAAGTGTGAACTTTTTTTTCTCACTTGTAAGCTTGTTTGTGTTTGTTATTGGTGCGTCTACAAATTTTGTCTTTCATCTTGTCCCCTCTGTGTCTCACTGTCTCTTTCTCTTCTCTCTGCCCTCCAGTCGTCAGAACCAATTGAAGGATCAGGCCCAGCAGGCTCTGGTGTCCCCTGGTCAGCTCCCAGAGGAGGCCGAGTGCCTCACGGTGCCCAAGTACAAGAGAGACCTTGTTCAGAAGCTCAAGATCCTCCGCCAGGAACTGTCCCAGCAGCAGCCACAGGCCGGCCACTGCCGCATCGAGGTGTCCCGCGAGGAGATCTTCGAGGTGAGGACGGAAAGAAACAAGCTCAGTCATGTCATCGTATCATCTGAAGCTCACAAGGGGGCCTGTTATTAAATTGGTACATAATTTAACCCGGAGGGAAATTCAGTCGTGGCAGCCAGAGCATGCGTGAAACTAATTAAGATTCATAACAGAATGGTAGAAAAACACGGAAATGATCTAATATTTGCTCCATTGCACAACCACCTGCCCTCAGTTTCCCCACAACTCCAGCCAACAAATCTACATTTGGCACTGTGAGAATTAAACAGTTGCATTTCTGTGTTGTCCCATAATTGACTAATAATACCAGTGCACCTCCAGACCTCTTATGTTGCACCTCGCCAGAAATGTAGCTACATCTTGCAGTGACGCAGACCTCCTCTTATTTTTGTAAACCGAAAACCGTTTCCCTCAGTGGAAATGAAGGTTTTATTTACTTTAATTTCACAGATAAGAAACAATAAATTGCGAAGTCAATAAAGCCTCCACAAAAATAGCATTTGAAGTCTTGTTTGAGGAAAATGCTGCGTTACATTTACCTCTGAGGTCAGAGCTCGGAAAGACGTCACACCCGAACTGACTGCCTTTTAGTACGATTCAGAAAACCAAGTTGTTATACAGGCAATACAAGTCCTAGCCAGGTTAGGGACTGTTGGCAAAGCATTATGCTGTATTTTGCACACACCACAGCAACATGTCCACTGATAGAAGCTGGACAACACTGTGTTTCATCAACAGTTTTAATTAGATACAAAAGTGCTTAAAAAGAAAAACAGGAACTATATATTACTACAGTTTTCATACTGTTGATGTGTGGACAGCCATCTTTGATTTTGAAGTTGGGTTGGTGGAGTTCATCCGACTCAAGGGGGAGTTCCAGTTGAAATTTGAAATTTAAAAAAAAAAGAATTCATTTTTTAAAAATTACTTAAAAAAATTTAAAAAAAAAAAAAAGTGAATTCACTTTTTCACAAAAAAATGTGAATTAATTTTTTAAAAAATAACAAAAGTGAATTCACTTTATTTATGAAATTGAATCACTTTTTTTAAATTATTTTTTATAAAAAGTGAATTCACTTTTTCCCAAAAAAATGTGAATTATTTTTTTAAAAATGAAAATGAAAAAAGTGAATGCACTTTTTCTTTTATTAAAACATTTTTTAATTCACTTTCTTAAATTGTTTTTTATATAAAAAAGTGAATTCACTTTTTCACAAAAAAATGTGAATTAATTTTTTAAAAAATAACAAAAGTGAATTCACTTTATTTATAAAATTGAATCATTTTTTTAAAATTATTTTTTATAAAAAAGTGAATTCACTTTTGTTATTTTCATTTTTTTAATGAATTCACGTTTTCATTTTTTTGTGAAAAAGTAAAAAAAAATCATATTCTCTTATTAAAATAATTTTTTATGAAAAAAGTGAATGCACTTTTTCTTTTATTAAAACATTTTTTAATTCACTTTCTTAAATTATTTTTTATATAAAAAAGTGAATTTACTTTTTTTATATTATATTTCACACTTTGAGCCCCCTTCTTTTGTGCATGGACGTCTTAAGTACACTGATCTCAGCCTGTGAACCTTTGTGTGGTTGTCCAGCCCAGTTGCTTTGGCGTGCAGGTATCTCCTCTGCCGTCTTCTCTTTGTCCATTGTACCAACGCACCCAAGATAAACTTTTTTGTTGCCCCAACTAGGCGCAGTTTCACAGCAGCCCTGAGACTAACGCTAAAATACGCTGTTACTGTTGATAAAGTGCTGCTGAAGCATATGTTATATGTCACACTAGAGGCTGATGCTGTTGTGTAACATGTCTCACCTGTCACGCCTCTTTTGCTTACGGGACACCAACAAGCCGTCTGAAATCACACACTGGGGCGGTTTGAAGAGACTCTGTAGCCACCCTATAGAGCAGTCTTTGTGGATAAAGGGCTAACTTCACAGCAACTTAACACCGTTGCATAGAAACTCCACCGCCATCTAGTGCTTTGGAGGTGTAACTGCAGGACGACGCAGACCCACTGCACAAGTATAAGTGCTCACAGTGCTGCAGGCCTCTTGCGTAAAGCCTACGTACAACAATAAATCAGCTGTAAGAGAAGCAAACAGCACAAAACTCTGATTCTCTTGTTCCTGCAGAGCTGCTTGTGATTGTACAAGTTATTTATTGACGCACCAAAGTTATGTTAAACATCCCCTGAAGGTTTTTCTTCCCTGCTCTCATAAAGGTCGTTGCCCGCAGCAGTTTGGCTGTGAGAATGATTTCTCTCACACACAGTTATCTATGATGTGTGAAGGTAGTCTGTTGGAAATCTAAAGCAGACCTCGTGTTTGAGATGAGGGTTTGCTCAAGTACATTTTCTCAGCTGGGGAGTTTTTTTTTCTTTCTTTGCATCTAGGAGGGCCTTCATCAGAGCAACAACACCTGCAACAGACTGCATGACCCTCATAAAATATGCACTGGAATGTGCTGGAACAGCCGCGTCTCTTAATCTGAACGAAGACATTTTTGTTGGCTGATCTCAATGTGAGAGAGAGAGAGAGAGAGGGCCAGGAGGGGAGGGGAGGGAAGGGTGCAGAGGACATTTTGAGGTTAAGCGAGACATAACTGCACAGCGTCTCCAGACCAGCTGAAGCATTACAGTTTGAGTGAACAGGCAAGTGTTAGCTGGTGGACTGTCAGACTTGTCTTTATGTGTACTTTCTGGTGCAGATAAGAGCTTCTCATTTCTCGCACAGCACCTCTCTGTTGTCTGCTGTGTCTGCAGGGCATAGTGGAACCTGGCTGTGTTATTATAGTCTTACGGCTGTGTTTATTATAACTGCCCCTAATCCACTTTAAATGAGCCCTCCCCCCGAGGCTGTGAGCTGTCTGCACGTGGGATGAACACTGATTGAGGCGGAGAGAGCTCAGCCTTATGACAGAGAACCAATTTAAAATTACTTCTGTAACTGCCACGCTGCGTCTGTCTCATTTCTTATAAAACTGCTACAGACGAGCCTCGCGCTTTTAACATCAGTTCTTTTAGGCCCTGATCACACAGGAAGTGTTTTAGCAGCTTGAAGCAAGCTGTTGCGATGCACCTCACATTTCTGCGCTCTAGGCGCCTGGCGTTTTTGCCGGAGCGCTCTGAACTCCTCAAGTTGAAAAATCTTCAACTCAGAGCAGAAAAGCATCTCATGTCAACTTTTCCCCCATTGTCCAATCAGATGAGAGGCGGGTCTTCTGTGGTGGTCACGACAGCAACTTTACCGTTGGTAAACATTGGAGGAGAAACTGGTGGTAGAGGCTGAAATCAATGCAAAAAAACTGTCATTTTACTTAGGACATCCGTGCACTTTCTGTGTGATCGGGCTGTTAGAATAGTCTCAAAGTTTGGTCAAGCAGTAAAACATAATACATGTTCAACCCTGGAACTGGTCACACATGATGTTTGTTTGTGTCCCCAGAGTCAGGACCTGTCATGTAGGTACTGCAAACGATAAATGGCTTCTTTTCAACCCCACTGAGAACCGCTCTGTAGCATCAGCAACTAGCAGGGAGAACACAGCAAACAGCAGTCTGACTGATGCTGTTACCGTCTTTGACGAGGCGTGTGCGTTTGTTTGCATCTGTCTTGCAGGAGTCGTATCGCCAGGTGATGAAGATGAGGCCGAAGGACCTGTGGAAAAGGCTAATGGTGAAGTTCAGAGGAGAGGAGGGCCTCGATTATGGAGGAGTGGCCAGGTAAGAAACTGCAGCAGAAGAAGAGCGTGATACACAAAGCACACCCTCCTCCTCTCATTCCTCAGTTTGTACGTCCTCGATTTGTGTCCTCGCCTCCTCTCTCACATCTGAGTCCTTCCCACCTGGGATGCGAGCAAAGGACGCAAGGAAGAGACACAAGGAGCAAGGATTTAAATGGACAGTTCACCCCAAAATCAAATTAAATATTTTTCCTCTTACTGTAGTAGAAGGAAGCGTGCATCTACTGCAAGCTCACCTAGCACCACTGAGCTGGCTATTGTTACAGCTCAGCTGAGGCAGACGCCATTAATGTTTACATCTCGTGCTGTCACGATACGAGCCTCTAGTAGATGCACGCTGCCTTCTGTGCGGTGTTACAGTTGGTGGGTGCAGCTCAGAAGAAAATAGTTCCCGTGTGAAACTTCTCACATCTGTGGATTATCATGAGTAACCAGGTCATGATTTCCGCTGAGTTTGAGTTTTTCAGATGTATTTTTTTGGCGCTTTGAGCACCACAAGTACTCAGCAACTCACACCAAAACAGTCTAGATTGATAAAATGTTCAATAGGTGAAAGAAAAAAATGTGAATGTTTGATTTTGTGCTGAGCTGTTTTGTTAGAAAAAAGAGACATCTGTGCTTCAGAGCTGTAATTTAAAAGCGACATCAGTAAATAATGACGTGTGGCACAGCTGCATCATCAGCTCTGTGTTGCACCTCTTGTATACATCACGGGTAACAAAAAGACTTCTGCAAAGGATTCATCTGTGCATCCTCGCTCATAGCACCTCCAGTGAGCCTCCTCTCTCCTCGAGATGCATTTTAGAAACTGAGACATCCATCAAGATGGCGCGCTGAGATCGATTTCCAGATCAAAGGCATGAGGACGGAGAAGAGAGGAGGCACAAAACAGAGAAATGAGAAGAGCCCTCACACTTTGGTTCTCAGTCTGCCTCCTAGTGGAGGAAACAAAGAACACAATTCACTCATTGTTTTGTCTGGTTTGATCTCATTTCTTCATCAGTTCAAGTTCTGAGGTCAGAGATGTTTCCAGCTGCATCCTCAGCATTGTAACTCCACTGTGAGTCCTTTTCCTCCCCCTCCACCTACTGTCTGACCTCTGTGTGTCTGCGTTCTGTGCTCTGTGCAGGGAGTGGCTCTATCTGCTGTCACATGAGATGCTGAACCCGTACTACGGCCTGTTCCAGTACTCCCGTGATGACATCTACACGCTGCAGATAAACCCGGACTCTGCGGTCAACCCTGTGAGTCAAGACAAGACGAGAAAATCCAACTGTTGTGTGGCATTGACGTGCCAACTAAAAATGTGTATGCACTCGCTGCTTTGAGAAGTTTTGGATCAACAGGTTATCTGCAAGTCTTGGAAAGCATTAATTTCAGTTGTATTACATTTGCATATATTTTGAGTGTTTGTTCTTGTCTTTCATGAGACTGGTGTGAGAGTGGATTGTGCTTCAGGAGTCTGAATTTCAGTGAGTGCTATCAGGCTTGTAGCAAATCTGCACTTACTGCCAGCTGCAGAAAGCTCAGTGTCTCGTGATGAGCAAGTGTTGATTTTAGCAAAAACCATTAACTATTTTTTATGTGATGTGTCAATAGATCCATGCACTTAATAAATAAGGGTCTGTCTTATTGTTCCCACTTTTCCATCATTCTTTGGCCGGTAACAGGGGTGTAAATCACCACTGTCACCACAATACGATATATCGATTCTTTGGACAGCGATACGATATTTGCCGATTTTACAAAATCTGCTGCGGTACAATTTCGATTTGATGCAATTAAGGGTCCTGCGGTCGATATGAGACGATATTATCTGCCCATATAACACAGTCTGTTACAAAAGAAGCTGCCCCCACTTTCTTTTTTCTTTGGCCATAAAAGATAAAATAATCTAAGTAACTGTAACTGTTTAGTTTAAACTGACTCCACTAACACATAAAACAGCACATGGGATAAGTCAATGTTGACTACACACGCAGGAGTATGTTTTTAAGGGGACAGCACACAAGCACACACGAAAAAAAAAAGAAATTAAATTAACACGGGCAAGATTACGTCGGTCAGAGATTCTGAAATTCGGTTTCCATTTATCGTCCAGCCCTACTTTGAGGCATGCTTTGTGACTGGGCTACAGTGAACTTTGACCTGACTGATCTATAAAGCACTTTGGGTACTTAGTATGGATGTGGCCTGAGGTCACTCTCCGTACCTTTAACTGTTGCTCTCCAGTGTACAGAGGTTATCATGTGGACAGACTGTTGGGTTGTTTTCTGTTGTATCATGTAGATTTGGTCAAAGAGGAACTCACTTGTTTATTGTTATAAACATACTTAAGAAACTCAGCTCTGCTGGTAACTCCCCGCCGTCTCCTCATTTGGAAACTGAAGCTGTTTTGTCTGCCCTCAGGAGCACTTGTCATACTTTCACTTTGTGGGCCGTATCATGGGGATGGCAGTGTTCCACGGCCATTACATAGACGGAGGCTTCACTCTGCCCTTCTACAAACAGCTGCTGGGTAAACCCATCACCCTGGAAGACATGGAGTCTGTCGACCCCGACCTGCACAACAGCCTCGTGTGGATCCTGTACGTACAGCATACATTTAAATACAAGTCGACAACAGTGTTGTTTTTATTCTGTGTAAATGAAAAGTGAAAGATAACACACATGATGCTCTGTGTGTGTGTCCACAGTCTACACGTGATAAGTATTTATCAGTACCTTTAAAGAAAAATATGCAACTTAAGAGGAAATCTCACAAATAATAAGTACATCTTAAAACCTGCCAACTGATGAGATGTTCTCTCCTGTACTTTGATGACAGCGCCCCCTAGAGTCTTTGAATATTTCTTACATCACTGGTCCTTCAGCACAGGTTTTCAGACCATGTGCTTGTTTTCACTTACATGCACTCTAATATGAATATCTGAATATTACAGTATTCTGATTTCTATATCAGTCATGTAAACTTAATATTCTAAATTAGGCCTTTTTTTGTGTGAAGTAGATTCAGATCTGTGGGATAACCTCATATTTGGATTTTAGGAACATTCTTTGGACATGTGTACAGTGCATTCAGATTATGCACCTTGTTTGAGGTTTTAATCTTTTGAAACCTGGAGCGACGTCACATCTTTTAACTTTTTGCAGGTATTTAAACCTTTGAACCTCTGAGCAAACTGGTGTGATTTCTTTCAAAAACATGGGAGGAAAAGCAATAAAGCAGCAAAAAGCACGCACATCCACGAACAAAATTGTGCAGGTACTGAGCTCAAAAATGTGGACAACTGAGCAGGTAAAGAAAGGCTCGAACACTGCAGGGCTCCTCTTCAGTGCAATTTATTCACTGAGTGAAATGACGACGTTTCGAGCTACCGATGACCTGATGAAGAGCGGTAGCTCGAAATGTCGTCATTTCACTCAGTGAATAAATTGCACTAAAGAGGAGCCCTGCAGTGTGCAAGCCTTTCTTTACTTGCTCAAGAAAAGCAATAAGCAACTTTGTAAGAAATGTCCCATTAATTGCAAAAAAAAAAAGAAATTTTTATTACATTATAAAATTATGTTACAGAATTATTTTAATTTTTAAGCACTCTTTTCAGGTCATTTCATTGTTTATGTTTTAAAACAGAACTCATTTTCTTGTTTTTAATTTTTTCCTTTTACTTATTTCTTGCAGATTTTTGGTCATTTTAGTCATTTCTTCTTTGCTCATTGCCTCCTTCCCATGTTTTAAAAGAAATCAAGCCAGTTTGCTCTCCAACAGTTTGCAAGGCTGGGTTGTAGAAATGCATGCCCAAAATAAAAGCCCATAATTTTGGTCAGAAGGAGAAACATTCCTACCTTTAAGAAGGTGGTTGAAGGAGAGGCTGAGTTTGCATCGTCTAACGAGTCCACCACTGGGGGAGAACTTAGAAAAAAAATATTTGGGATTAAAAGAAGCAAATTGGCAAAAGCATCTCCAGCTGTTCTTCTTTTACATTATTTGACTTTATAAATGACATGTTAGGGCTTGTTAATCAGAACATGCACAGCTATATGTCAACATGAATATCAGTAGAATATTTCAGATGTGTTTTTTAAATCTGTCATCTAAAAAAAAAAATCTATACACACAGAAACCTTGCATGCTGATTCCAGTGCATTGAAAATTCGCAATATGTGACAAAAATGAAAAAGACATATTTACCTATCTGACTGTCACCGCTCTCTCCCTGTCTTTCATTTGGCACCGCAGCTGCATGAAGGGGCGGAGCTGTCCTCCATCTCTGTCTCCACGTTCTTCTCTTCATCATCGTCCACCTGAACATTACATATCTGAAAGTGACCTATCTGAGTTATGAAATGATTCTGTGCGCCCCGTTCCTCTGTTTTATTGCAGATGTGTCTTACAGCCACACTTTCTTCACTGATTCTTGGTCAAACGTCTCTAAAAGTTTTGACGGATGCAAAATATTCAGAGAATCGAACCTGTTCCGAAAATGTTAATAACGGAAATTTCAAATTTCAGATGCAAACATGATTGACGTAACGTGAGGCTGTATTCATTTTTAGACGTGCGACAATGTCGGACAAAAAAACAGACTCTGTGCAGAGGCCGTAAAGGTAAGAAACTGAATATTTTCTTAGTTGCCCTCAAACTCACAGTCAAATGTTCATCTCTCCTCAGCGACAATGACATCACAGGTGTGCTGGACCACACCTTCTGCGTAGAACACAACGCCTATGGAGAGATCATCCAGCACGAGCTCAAGCCCAACGGTAAGAGCATCCCCGTCACACAGGACACCAAGAAAGAGTACGTGCGGCTCTACGTCAACTGGCGTTTCCTGCGAGGCATCGAGGCCCAGTTCCTCGCTCTGCAGAAGGGCTTCAATGAGGTCATCCCCCAGCACCTGCTGAAGGCTTTCGATGAGAAGGAGCTGGAGGTAATTTCATTGATTTCCCTCATCACATCGCTCAGTTATAGTCTAGGTAGATGGAGTCATTGTATTCAATAAAGTGTGCTTCCCTCCTCAACCCGTAGCTGATTGTATGCGGCCTGGGTAAAATCGACATCAATGACTGGAAGTCCAACACGCGGCTCAAACACTGCACTCCAGACAGCAACATCGTCAAATGGTTCTGGAAAGCTGTGGAGTCGTTCGACGAGGAGCGCAGAGCGCGGCTGCTGCAGTTTGTCACCGGCTCCTCCAGAGTTCCCCTGCAAGGATTCAAGGCTCTCCAAGGTACACATGCACATACTGCATGTTTTGTTATGTAAAAGAAAGAAAGTCCTGCTCTTGAAATGTCTTGGTGTGAATTGTCTTCTTTGTGAGACTCGGACCAGAGTGAGCACTGAAGTGTTAGCCAGCTCACGCAGCTGAAAGGGTTCAAAATGTGTTGTCAGATCCATCATGTCCGAAGGTGTGGTAGTCTTTACCGCCCCTTTTGTTGTGCACACACACTGATCTACATTCACAGTCTCATGCGTGTGTGTTTGGGATTCTTTGCCTCTCTATGTATGTCTGTGTCTCTGGGTTTCTCCGACCTTGTGTGAACCCTGAGTGTGTGCCTGGTGCAGTGGTTCAGTGGGTCCATCCTGGCAGACAGTGCAGCCCAGAGACAGAGCACCCAGGCATGAGGAGTACACCGTGACCCACAGGCAGACAGCACCCTTACACACCTTATATAACCCAGCCAGCCTTTCTTGGTCAAAACATCTAAAATCTGGACACATGGTTACAGTCGAGGGACCATGTCAGCTCAGTTAGTACTGGTGGTATCTAAATACTGTACAGTAATACAGTGTTGTTGGAGCATTCTGAGAACCATCTGAACGTTTGATGAACTGAAGCGATTTGACTTCAGTAACAGAAAACATCACACAGGCAGATTGTGAGTGATTTAAATGATAAGACAGGAAGTCAACTTATTGTGCCACTCTTACACCAAACAACTTTTCAAGCACTTTCGCTGTCGCAGACAAATCATGAGAGTTTTCCCGTAGTAAGTGCACTCTCCCGTTCTCAGCTGGTGTGAGATGGTCATAAAACTCTGAGCTCAGTCTGAGCTGTCGTAATCAGTCTTTTCTTATCTTGACGTTCCTACAAAATCCAACGTGTTTAATGTTATCCTGAGGTTTTATTCTTAGTGAAGTTCAATGGCCCATTATAATAACGTGCACTGGGGCCTGTCCTAATGACCATATGCCACTGGGGGAGGCGCAAGTACATGAAGTCTTGGCTCTCTTATACTATGGAGAAGGAAGAGAAACTGGTGGAGTTGTGAACAAGAGTCAGTGTTTAATTTGGCGTGTATCTGATCCACCAACCAGCACTTATTTTAGTGAGAACAGAGGCTGGTGGCAAGTTGAGGTGTCAAATACACAATTAGTACTGGTAATATTTTAATTCGAAACCATTTGTGTGAGTTCATGTTGTTTAGATTTCTCTCTCTGAGATGTTATTTCAAGGTGTGTAATTTCTAAAACTTGAATCAACTCAAATGTCCAGGGCTCTCGTTCATAAAACGAGACTTAATGGGAGAAACTTTGACTCATGCTTCTGAACATTTTGGAGACAGGAAATAGGAGACGCAGATGGTGAGGTGGAAGCCTGATTGTAGAAATTGTCAACTATTGACACCCCTGGTTTCCAGTCACTCACCTCAACTTTTCTTTCTTGGGGATCCTGGACAGAGGTCTGACTAATTCCTTTCAGCATAACTGATCATCCGTGCTAACCTGAATGTTCAAGTTTGAATTTTTCACCTTGAATTTCACCAGTACAGTCTGAGATTTATTTCTGAGTTGCCGTTATAGATCCAGCTGAATGTGAGCAGTCTGAGAATGTTGGACGCTTCAACTTTGAGTCTGAATATGTGAAAAGGAAACAGTCAAAATTTTAAATGACCTTCTGGAAATTACAGAGTGAGAACAGAGGTGCAGAGCAGGACCATTTTAACTAAACTAATTGTGTTTGTACAGGTGCTGCCGGCCCACGGCTCTTCACCATCCACCAGATTGATGCCAGCACCAACAACCTGCCCAAAGCCCACACCTGGTGAGGAAACTGTCACAACTTAGACTGTTTGACACTGAGGGGGAGAGTAGTAAATCACAGCCAGCTACAGCCTCTGAGAGACGGTGATACTGCACCAGCGTCCCCGCGGAGTGCAAGAGTTTAAGGGTGTTTTCACACCTGCCTTGTTTGGTTCGGTTCAATCAAACTCAAGTTCATTTGCCCCCTCAGTCAGTACGTTTACATGACACTTGAAAAAAACGAATTATTGCCTTAATCCGACTATAACTGGACAACTGAAGTGCATGTAAAGGCGTTACTCCGACTAATATCGCAGTTCTCCAACTCCGATTAAGACACCCAGATAATGTGATTGGAATTCGATTTTCTCCGGCACGTATACGCCTTAATTGGAGTTAAACTAGACAATGCATGTGCGCATGCTCCACACCCCCCGTGCTGGCGTATCACCCCGGAACAGACAAGACATGCTATTGTTGTAGCCCTCCAACAGCATATGGTGTTCTTGTCTGCCTCTCAAAATCACCATGACCACGAGGGATAGCGTGCACCTTATCTGCACAATCAGTAACGCGTACATTACGTACGAGATGAACAAAACTGTACGATTATCCATCTTGCTCTTGTTCAAAAATGCCGGTCTGCCGCCTGACTCCAGTTGTTTATTATTAAGTGACGTAATAGGTCAACCGGAAAGGGGGCCGTATTAACCCGCTGAAACGACGCATATCGCCACCTAGTATTGACGAGGAGGACACATTCCCATCTGTAATTCAGTTGTCTCAGTTGCATGTAAACTGGGACAAGGACAGAAGTCCAATTAGACGCCAAATCGAATTTTGAGCATAGCTCGATTAAGCTGTGCATGTAAAAGTACTGAATGTGGTTCGTTTGGGCAGGTGTGAACACAGAAATCACACTCAGGTGAGCACCAAAACAACCAGACTGAGACCTTCTTGAAGAGGTGATCTCAGTCCGGTTCCAAAGGAACTCTGGTGCGGTTGGTTTGTGGTGAGAAGGTGTTCTGACCTGGATGTGAAGCAACTGCAGTCACATGACACATTGTTTGGGTTAAACATGAGCATGTTACAGTCCTGGAGGATTATTAATGTGCACCTCCTCCTGTACTGCCTTAATATGCACATTCAGCACATCCAATGCATCAAAACATTGTTTTCTAGTTGGAGCCGCGCCTCGTTTTCAAACTGTATGATTTGACTAAAATGAACAATGACAGCAATATAGTCCACGATGAGCAGCGCTAAAATCAACCTGCGTAGTTGTCCCTCCATTGTGACATTAGAAAGTGTCACATTTATCTTGCAAGTGTACTCTTCTTCAACGTTTGCTTTACTTCCTGGATTTTTCCCACATGGAAATTCTGACCAATCAAGAGCAGCTTTCTCACACAAGGCATTTGATCTGGTCCTCTTGTAAATGCTGCCGTGAGAACACGAACCAACTCTAGGCAATTATACAACTTTGGAACAACATGAGTCCCTGATTCAGACCAAAGCAAGACGACTCTAGGGCTGAAAGCAGGACCCAGTCTCCCTCTGGCTTCCCTCTAGTTCACACCCTGCATGTGATCTCTACTGGGAACAACTGAAAAAAACGCTGGTGCTCAGAAAAAAAAAATGTTTTACAGACACTCACTCTCATGCAGCAGTGTTGTCATTCAGATAGTCTTTAAAATACTACTTTAAAATCTGTTCTCCCTTCTGTTTCCCAGTTTTAACCGGATTGACATTCCTCCCTACGAGCACTACGACAAACTGTACGACAAGCTGCTCACCGCCATCGAGGAGACGTGTGGCTTTGCTGTGGAGTGAGTCACTGCTGCAGGCAGAGTTCCGCGACAACCAGAAGCAACATGGTTTGGCCATGATGAGCCTCCCCCCTGCAAATCAACCCACTCAGACGGGGGTCATCCACGGTTGCTTCACCCAGGGACGCCCATACTTCCCGGGGACATGTGGCCAAGCTAAAGGACGGTGGGCAAAGAAGACCAGACAATGTCATCTGACTCTGGGTGTTTTTTTTTTTAGACCCTCCAGCCCTCCTTTATGTCTTTTTTTATCATTGAAAAGGATCTCTTCAGCTGCTAATAACTCAGACTATTTACTAACTTGTGGAACCTGCAGAAGTTGCTGGCTCTTCCCTTTTTTTCTAAGTTCATTTTAGCATTTTAAAAAATAGACTGTATTCCATGTAGCAATGCTCCATCTTACCAAGCAGAACACAAGGTCAGTCCACTCTGAAACCACATTAACAAGACTGGTTTGTTTGCTAGAGCACAGGGTTATTAATGGTTACCGCAACCACTCGGAAACACTAAATTTGGATGCAGAGTGTGCATGACTCGGGCTGTTTGGTGCCTCTGAGCGATCACATTTGGGCTATCGGTAATGCCAAGGCTGGAAATCGGGGATGTGTGCGGAGGAGATGGCGAGACTAGAGACTGAATTAGGCCGAGCCCAACTGTTTACAACCCTCTCCAAAGACGGCAGCAGGGACCTCTGCTCCCGAGGCGCTGCCCAGCAAGTAGCGCTGCATCCCCACAAACCTGTTCCACACGTCTGACAGCTAGTTTTGTTTGAAAATGAATGAAATGTGTTATTTTTATATAACAGGGAAAATCGAAAAAGAAACAATAAAATTCTATATAATATATATAATTTATTGCTGTTATATTTCAGAAACCCCTATCCATTGTTTCAGAAACACAAGATCTTTTAAATGTTAAGTGTTACTGTTTAAATTATAGAAGACAATTTGTGAAAACAGAACTAAGCTTGACTGAATTTCACTTACGAATGCTGTGGTTTATTTCCTGACATGATCTCTCTCACACTGTACGAGGAGAGGAATGTCTCAAAGAGCAAAAAAATCTCAAACACACAATGTCCTCTGAGTGCCATAATCATTTTTGAATGAATGACTCTTTGCTAATATCGAGCGGACCCTTTAAATTCTACTGATTTCATCCTGGAGCTACACGTGGTGGCGTCTCCCGACCCTTTTTATAACACGTTGTCATTTGTAGCTGGGCTATATTAATGTCACTAGCTTGAAACCGACCATTGATTTCTGATGGTATTCTGTTGAGAAGAGTCCAAAGTCCATCTTTATTGTGATGCCTCCACATTGTTGTTGTTGAAAAAAGAAAAAACCTCGACTACCTTCTAGCCATGTGGTGCTAAAATAGCATTAACGTTTGTCTTATATTGGCAACCTTACTCATTGACATACTACTGCTTAAAGTGCACACTACACGACTCATGCTCGTACCTGTCTGTGGCCACAAAATGTTTCCAAGTGATCAATAGCTCTGGCTAGCCACATTCTCAGGAGATGTCATATGTAGTTTGTAACGTCCTTTGATTTGACGACTGATGAGAAACGAATTCTGAACGCTTGTTTTGATTTCCTGAATGTTTAAGTTTGGTATTTTTCCACCTGGACAATATTTTCCTGTGCTTTTGTGTGTGAGACACAGCTTCTCTGCGTTCATGTCGTCCATATTTCTGCATGTTTTCTGAAAGATTCAGACGAAATGGAGCAGTATGTCATCAAGAAATAGAACAGATACAGATAATGGTGTACTCACTCATCCCTACTAAGTCAGTGACAAAAACAAACTTTAAGTGGACGTGCATTGATGGTGAGTTCATGCCCAGAGTGGATACATTGCTGCTGCAGCCGTTTCACTCAATACTGGACCAGAAACTGTTGTTCCCCGTTTCCACCAAACACTTTCAGTACAGCACCTTTGGAGCCAACAGTAACCCTTCAGACATGGTACCTAGACCCTAGTGTTTCCACCACAGACAGTCCTCTTAAATGTGGGCGAGGTTGTTGTCACTCACTGCTCCGTCCAGCACTCACTGTATTTCCTCCTTTATCAGTCTGCACCTGGTTTATCGTCCACAGAACGAGGCTGCACGCCCACATTTTCAGAACAAAATAGAACAGGCTGCAGTGAGAGTCTCTCTCCATGGGATATTTAAAAATAGCAGCTTTGTGCATTTAGTCCTTCTCAGGCAAGCTCAGGGGTTTAGTGTTGCTGGAGCCCACAGGAACGACGCTCTGTGACGCTTTTTTGGGGATTAAAAGTCGCCGGCAGTCGGCCCAGTGAATGAAGTTATGTTTTCTCAGACTCCAGCTGCTGTGAGAGGCAGCAAAACATCCTTTCATTTTATAGTTACAGTTTACTAATAAAACTCTCCACAGTATGAACAGTGGTTACATGAGCCTCAAAACCAGACACAACTCAGCCCTGAGCAGAGTGACCGTCCTCTACTGACCAATCAGACTGCAGTGTTCACAGCTCCACCTTTTAGTACCAGATCTGTGTGCTAGGTACCCCAACAGAGGGGGGACCAAACATGGGGACGCTAAGAAACGCTTGTGTTGGTACCATCCACAACTTTTCACTGTGGAACAGAAAAACTGAACTAAACCATACCGCTTGGTGGAAACGGAGCTTCAAACATAAAAACATGGGAACATAAAGTCCAGGTTGAAGAATACTGAACTTTCCCTTTAAGGGTTTTAAAGTCTTGTTGTTTAAATTGCTTCGCCCACAGCAGACCATAAACACACAGTAACCGTTGCATGTGTCCATCTGTGTTTTTAGTTGAAAGGGAACTGAGTGAGATGAACCTGATTTAGCCTGCGACACAGTGACGTTTTTATTCAGAGAAAGGGGGGGGTTTGTTTTCTACGATTTTAAAAATGAAATTCTTGAATGTTTTCAAAAGATGCTGCCTGTCTAGCAATCTCTACGACCGTGGACTGTTCTTAACATTTGCATACACACAGAAAAAAAAAAAATGAACTGTTCATTTTCATTCTTTTATGTGGACAAGTGTATGCAAAGTGAAGTGTCCTCAGATGGTGCTTTGTACAGTAATAAGATATTGTTCATATATGTGGATCAAACGACCTGTAATTTATCTTTAACTTAAGTAGAAAAATGAAAAGAGGAATTGCACACAAACAGAAGGAGGTCACCGTGTGTGTTTAATGGTGACTTCTCTAACAGATATTCATTCGCCTTTAAGTCCAGTGCACAAGCTGATGGCCCTACTGTCTGTTCCTACACTACACCGCTCAGCATCGCCCCGTAGCTGCCTCTCATTCAACAACTTTTTATTTTAAAAAGTCAGAGTTGAGAGAAGCCGCTCCTGTTTTTTGTTGTTTTTTTTTTTTTGTTTTTTTTAAATAGCATGATCCACTAGCAGGACTATATCTCTCATAGCTGACTGATGCAATTTGATGTATGTTAACACTATCATTTTGTAAGAGTATTTTATTTTTGTGTGTAATTAGTTCTAATTAAACTTGCCTTTGTCTAACAATGTAAGGCCTTGTACAAACATATGTCCTGTGCTTTTTCCTTTTATCTGAATTATTGCTTATTTACATTAAAGGAGTGCTTTAAAGGGAGAGTTCAGATCTTTTGAAGTGGGGTCATATGAAGGTATTTATCCAGAGTCAGTATAGCCCCTTTTACACTGCCAGATTTTCCACAAATGTTGGGCCGTTTTGCCGGCAAGCTGCGAGCGTTTAGACACACAGAGGCGCATTGGTTAGGTGATCCGAGGTGCCCAGACTTGTGGGAGGAGCTGTTGATGACGCCGCACGTGTGAGCCACTGGCGGTGGATAAACAGGAAACAGCTGATAGCAGGAATTAGTGAGCAGCTAGTAGCAAGAGGGAAACACAAACCTGACAGACACTGTAAAGATGAGCAACTGGGGAGACAAGGAATTGCGCGCCCTCCTTGTCCTCGCAAACGAAGAGGCCATTAACCATCAGATGACGGGGACGGTGAAGAACAGGCCGACTTATGAGAGAATCGTAGAAGGACTGACCAGCCGCGGCTTCCCTCCCACGTCACTGTTTGTTACTTGCTCACGCCCCCATTGCCCCGAAAAAGGCGCATTCTGTATAAACAAAAGTAGGCAGGCGGCATTTTGCTGCACTCCCCGATTTTGTTTTTATACTGCCAATGCTGAAAAAAGACTGATTGGGCTTTCCTGCAAATTTGCACAACTCCTGTTTAAAAAGGGCTAATGTGTCACCTACTGTAGATGTCAGTTGTCTTGCCCCCAGTTTGGAGAAGCAGGCAGGAGTGTCACCATGGAAGCGAAGTAATGTACTGCTGTGGACGGGGGCGGCAGCAAAACGTATCCTAGCAACCTAAAGAAATCAATATCAATTTAAGTATATATTTAGAATATTTTCACAGCTTTACCTTGGAGTCAGACAGCGATTTCTAACGAGAAACTAAAGTTTTACATCGCTCTCTTCGAAGCCAGACTCCATTGAGAAAAACAGTGATTTAACACCACTGAATACAGGAGCTGCTGGTCTACTGCTGCCTTAATCAGTTCGTTTCTTTGTTTTTTTGTGTGACTTTGGTGAATCCGAACTAACCGTTTTGCACACCAGAGTCACACAAAAACAAACTAACTAATGGACAGAGGCAGCAGTAGACCAGCAGCTCCTGTGTTCAGCGAGCTAAAATTACTGTTTTTGTCAGTGGAGTCTGGTGGCGTTGATGAGAGTGGCTTCCATTTTGGAAAGCGATTTCTGCAGCGAGATTAATCAACGTAAATATCCTCAACATAGTGTGCGCTTGTTGAATTTTTGTAGGTGGCTAAAGTAACATTTTCCACAGCTGTACATTACTTGGCTTCTGTGTCAGTGCTCCTGTCTGCTTCTCCAAACTGGGACCATGCTGACCACCTTCTACTGTAGGTAATACACTGATACAGATAAATACAGCCTCACTTCAGAAGAGCCGAACTCTCCCTGTAAAAGTTCCTTTGGTGCAGCAGTTATTCACATGCGATCCATTCATCAGGGGCTTGTTCAAGTCAAGTGGGGGATGCAAAGACTCGTGCTTTACATCTGAATGTGTCGTCATGTCCCTGACCCCCCGCTGTGTGCTCACTGATACCACTCTGGATTAAACGTCTGGCAGATGGCTCAGAGGGGGGCAGGGAGAGGGGTTACAATGACAATGGATGAAGCTGTTGGAGAAGAGGTGCCAAGTACATTTTTGTTGTTTCGTAAACATGCAAATTCATTGTATACAAGAGAGGTCTTAAACTGTCCACATGATAGAGCTGCAGCGATTAGTTGATTAATTGAGTTGTCGATCGAGAGAAGTAATCGTCAGCTATTCATTTGGATTTTGGACTGTTGGTTGATCAAAAGAAGCAACTTGAAGACGTCATATTTAGAAATTGTGATGAGCATTTTCTAGTTTTTTCGATAGGTTATAGGCTAACAAAATAACCTGCAGATTAATTGATTATAAAAGTTCCTTCAGTCACACAGGGAGGCCTCAGGAAAATGATCTGTACCTTCAGGAAGGGTCAAGATAGAAGAAGTTATGAGGTCACACCCCAGCAGCCCAATCACTGATCAATACAGTCCCTAAGGAATAAGTATGGTGGGGTGAAGAAAATGTTCATATAAAACGTGCCACTGTTTTTTTTATTGTCACCATGTTAAACGCAGTCTCACAGTGCAGTCATTATGTTCACAGACACAGCCTACATCTTGCAGAAGAGTCTCTGGAGCTTTTTAACGTCCATTTTAGATCGGAAAATACACAATGGGTAAAATCAAGCACACAGAAACTAAATAAATAAGAAAAATAAAAGAATAACAGAAAACTAAAATTGTACATTGTACAAAGTAAACAGTAGACTCAAAAAACAGAACGCACATCCAAAAATGATAAACACTGGGTGCTGGACAGAAGCTCAAATACAAAAAACTGCTCCTTTAGGACATTTTAATCGTGTCACCACGTGACAGTTCAGGCACCATCCCTTCATCAGGCAACAGAGTGAACATGTGAGACAAAATTCACATAGTGTGTAAACCTCGCGCTCACTCAAAGTTTATTTCTTGGTCTAACATTAATCTCAGGCATTTTCTCTGAAAGAAAACTGCTTTCTGTTTATTCCCCCTCACACTTTTATAATCCGCAAACCTGTTTCGCACCCAAACTATCTGTACTCACTCTTTAACTCATTCCAACAAAGGTTAAATGAGAATTAATCATGTTGTGTCCATTAAACAACACAAAAGAGATATTTTTCAGTTGCTGTCAGGTGACCTGGTTAGACCTGTGGATCCACTGACTGCACACTTTGGTATTAAAGGGTCTGATGTTGTTTTTCACCAGCTCCCAACATAATGTGATATTGTTTATAACCCCACTAGCACTTAGATTTATCTTACGATATAATGATGAAAACTCTGTGTGTGTGTGTGTGTTCCACGTTTTTCTCCTCACTGACTTGGTCAATCCATGTGAAATTTGGCACAGTGGTAGAGGGTCATGGGAGGATGTGAATGAAGCAATATTACATCAGTTGGCCAAAGGGGGGCGCTATAGCAACCGATTGAAATGCCAAACTTTGAATGGGCATATCTCATGCCCCGTATGTCGTAGAGACATGAAACTT